AAGTCAGCCCCCGCCCCACTTTTCCCGCCCATAGTTAAGACGGGAACCCTAACTCCAGTCACCGTGACTTCGCCGACCCCCGTGGGATAGGACAACCCTTAGAGCCTTCACCGTCAAGGCTCCTACCCCCGTGGGATAGAGAAACCAGGTGTGGCCCAAAGTATTCCCCTGGGCTCTTCTGTCGGAACTGCTCCGTCATTTCAAATACCAGAAGAGAATGATGTTTGGTCTTGGAGCAACCCAATTCGTGAGATATCTCACACTGGGCAGACCACTAATGATAATTCTTATCAACTGCCTCAAAACTCAGATGCAAGTGCTTGGAGTAACTTTATTAATTACTCCCCACCACAAGTAGAAGATGATGACGCTTGGGCAGCTTGGGAAGGATACGAACTACCTCAACGTACGGACCTCACTGCTTGGAGCAACCCCATGAACACGGAAAATGGGTATTACAGCAATGCATAGTGTAGAATACAAAGGATTCCTTGTTCCTTTCTATAGTGGCTATCAACGAACCTATATTTACACCATCCCTTAAAGCATTATCGGGCTGAGACAGTCCACTTCAGCAGCCGGCAGAAGTTCCAATGAGAAAGGCGGTGTGTCCCAGCACCACAATAGTAAATCCATCAAAGGCTTTCTGTAGCAACAAGCAACGGATGTTGATCAGTCCAACAATACGAAAAATGCCAAACCTCCACCTTGTTTTTTGAATTTAAGATCCTCATCTCCTGAGTGCACAGCAAAGCTTCCACAAGATATCTTGGTAATATTGGTAGGCAAGCCGTTCTGATCGTCCAAGTCTTCAAGGGCAATAATGACCAAGGTCTTGCCAGGAAATGGAGTTTGCAAAACTCCGGTCGCAAGTGGTCTATCAGCCCAGAGGATCGGATAAGCGTCGGATATATTTTCTCGAGGGTTTTCTTTGAATGATTTTCCAGTTTTCTGGGTTACGGCATCGAGACTTCCCTCCTGAAACAAGTAAGACGAGGTTGCAATATGTCATGGATGTATGCATACCTGGAGCCATAGATTCAGAATGGTATTTATTTCTTCCTTATCCCGAGGTAGGAATAGCCAGGGATAATGGGGATGTGATCGGTGACGAATTTTAAGTCGTAAATTGTCCGCGACAGAAGCTGCGGCATCTCGAAGACTTTGTGGATTCGCCATAAATGTAAAAAACCTCAAAACCAATTCCAGTATGTATATGAAGTCCTGGGACAAACAAATGTATAAATATCCATTCACAGTTCCATGGTGTGTGTTAACGAAATCTCACTTTAAAAGGGTTGGTGGGGTTGAACTGACTGGTGTTCTCGGCGGGGTTTCTGTCGGATTCTCAACTGACACGTGACCATATGGGGGTCGTCATAGTTTTTTACACAGCGCATCTTCTCCGGGTAAAGTGTTCATTGAGAGATAATAGCCTAATATTAGTTGCCCAATATTGAATCAGAAAGAATTTAGGAAACAGAAGCAAGCATGCAGAAAGACTTCCCCATTGTGAGAGATGTACCTAAACATTAGACTACAAGTTTTCAGGCAGCTCTTGGATGATTACATCAGTCCACGCCTAAGAACCCCACTAACTATAACAAATTGGCCATTCGTAGATTAATAAGCTATGTCCTGTACTCCATCTAGAAATGCCAGTAACTATTCCGCAGGACTATTCAGTGTCAGAGCATCATGACGTCGCACCCCATTCATAACTGTAGAGCATGGAAACAATGCTAAAAGTGAGTCTTTGAAATCCACGCACGTCGCCACTTCTTGATCCAGACTTCACTTGGATTCCTTGCGTATTATCTCCACTAAGCGAAAAAATATCTGATAGATGTGGAAACAGCCATGACATCCCAGCTACATTCATCCGATTGAGAGTTTACAAGAGAGAAGACAGTGAGAGGACGCAGGCTCCTCCAGGCCACTGTGTGTTGACAAGTCCCTGCTAAAGTACAAGTTCAAGTCAAGAGTTTCTGATATGAGTTTCTCTTAGGTCTGTCCCAGAAGACGGTGAAACACGACTTTGAGAAACTGGGTACACCAAATAACGTGCTTCACATGCGAATGTCACATGAAGTCGCTCCGCCGCGACTTTAACCCCAACATTTCCACCAATGCACATAAATTCCATTTAAACTACTCAGAATCGCCTTCCTCAGACATCTCTACTACTATCTGACAGGAACGTGCATTGTGTCTGGCCTTTCCACAATTGCCACAGCGCCGCGCGTGTCTCGGTCCGCAGTCGCCGACCAGCCCCATTGCATGTTTCCTCCTTTAGTTGTACCTCAACAATCGTTGATTCCTCTAAATCAGTGAGCCTCTGTGAATTGGCTGATATATTGCATCGTGTTTGCATGCCACGCCGGCAGCGACTAAGCTTCTCATGATCCACATGATAGATCTTGCCAGCTGCTCGAGCGCTCAGTTTTTTGTCATTTTGCATAGCTTGAAGGGCCAATATTACTTGGCATTCATCATGTTTCTGAGGCATATTTGGTTGTGGTGATATCTGTGATAAAAGTCAGAAGTTGCGTCGGAGCGACTTCGTGTGACATTCGCATTTGGGTCACGTTGTCTATTTTTCCGCGCTCCTCCAATTGTAACAATAGCCTATATGACTCAGCTATGGGATGATCCATGTTGAGATCAAGGGCGTCCTCCTCGGTGAAAAAGCTATGAGTGTTGTTTTTCCATCATGGGATAGATTTCATCAAGTTCTCAGGCATGTCGTCAATCTTGGGGGCGTCGCATATTTTACAGGTTTACGAGGATTGCTCTTTTTGATGCGTTCCTCTGAAACCCTTGGGATTTGTTTCCAGAGATTATTTAAAAGCCCCCAAAAACTTCTATATATTAGTACGATGATCTGTATAGAGAACGATCAACTTACATCGTCATCAGAAAGGGGGTCATGGATATCGTCACGCCTATGGTAATCTGCTTCGGAACACGCAGCACTAAATCTTTCCGAAACAACTTTAATCTCAGTAAGCCCCATGTCGATGAAGTCCAATGACTCCCATGACATTGAGATGGCGAAGTCGATATTTTATCCGCGCTCTACACAGATTGCGGCACAGTTAGCCTCAACCGACACGTACAGCGCTTAGGACGGTCTATTGATTTGCTGAACCAACGTGCTAGGAACATGGCGTAGTTGGTGATTCGTCCGGAACTACCTGGAGGGTGGAGACACTAATGCTAAATCTTCCCTAAATGTCGACCAGTTCAGGCAAGGGTTAGCCCGACACACTTCCAACATTATAGAAACAACATGAATGGATGTATGATAATGTCATACTTTCAGCGCTAAAATCCGCGGTTCTAGTTACATATCTGTGTCAGGGTGCAGGGTCAGGTAGCGATATATATTAGGAATTGACGAACAGGGTAAGCTACGGTCAGGCTATCTACAGGTTCATAGACAAGACGCAGCTCGAAGAGCTGCAGCAGAATCAGCGTTGGCGCAGACAGATATCTCTGTGGGTCACGTGCCTAGTCACGTGCATAGATCACGGGCTGGCACCGTGACAGTACTCCCCCCCTCAAGGCCGAGCTCCGTCGAGGCTAGGCCCAGGCTTATGGGGATAGCGGCGATGATAGTTGGCAATAATCTCTCAGGCATGCTCCAGGTATGCAGCTGGTGATGATGTGAGAGAAGGTCTATAGATAGCGCAGTGAGTGTTATGAGAAGTATATGCGTAGTATTCACGGTACTAATCGCTGATGTCCTGTCCTCGGCCATCAGCGAGGTTAAGACTTTATGTCGCGGTCATGTGATGTGCGGGTGCTTATTAACCGCACGTGCGCGTTATGTACATGCATAAGTCCGCTATGCGGCTTTGTATCCTAACAGATGATGATGATGATGTCTTCCATTTTATAGAGCATTTTCCAGTCTAAGACTATGCATGCTCTACCCACCCCCTCAGGGGTGGGATTTGTGTCTGATGGGGTTTATATACATGGTATTTGCTCTGTCACAGGTCACATGGGAAGCTCTCACTTTGAGATGGTCAAGAATGGGGGACATGATGGGGTAGTGCCTATGAGGCCCTAGCTAGGGCATCAATGGCTGACATATAGATGGCTGGGAAGCCTGCCAGGTGGTAGAAATCCAGAAAGGAGAGGGGGAGAGTTAACAGGGTTAGCAAATAAATCAAAAACAGTGAATCAAAAACAGTAAATCAAGAACAGTGAATCAAAAACAGTGAATCAAAAACAGTGAATCAAAAACAGTGAATCAAAAACAGTGAATCAAAAACAGTGAATCAAAAATAAAAGAAAAACATAGTTAATTCAATACAAATAAAACTTTTTTTTTTTTTTTTATTCAATGCCTAGCAGCCACTTTCTAGGAAAAAGAACAATTCCTAATATTAGGGGTTGAACTTGAGTTGTCTTAACTAAAAGCTACCCTTTATCATACAAGAAGGAATTGTTGAAGAAGAAACAAATGGAGCAGAAGTGAAGGCAGTCTTTTATGAACATCCAGGGATGACACTCTTTCCTTGGAAGTCAGGAGTCATATGAAGGAGTCACTGCTAGTCCTTGTATGCGGAGGGTTTGTATGAAGGTCGTCAATAATTGATTCAGAACCCTTGCAGGTTGCATTCCGTGCTGGCCTTGGCTGAACCTGTCATCTTTTGGGTTCGTACGAGAACCCCATAACAAGTTGGTGTGGGGGACGCACTACTATGGTTCTATGATCGTTGGATCGAACCAATAGAGTAGGCGTGTGGAAAAGAAAAAAAAGGGCGAGATTCAATATTATGTCACGGGCTCGGAATAGAAGATAATAATGAACTGAATTCCTATCTTGACTATTGTAGCCATCAACGAGAATATCAAATCTGGGAAGGAAAAAGGAGAGGAAATCTATCTGGCGAGTACAGTCTCTATATAAGCCTTTGTGCGATGCGGCTTGAGCCCTTGTTTGTCCATATTGCTTGTATGGCATCTTTTGGCATGTTGGCACTGTTTGCCTGGTCGTTGAGCCGTCACAGCTATACAGCCCTGCCACCAACAACCCCTATAAAAGACCTCTTCATTATCCAGATAGATTCCCTTTTCTCTTTTCTTCTCCAGATTCGATATTCTCGTCGATGGCTACAATAGTTTAGATAGGAACATCGATTCAATATTATCTACTATTCCGAGCCCGTGACAGTTAAGACAACTTGAGTTCAACCCCTAACAGCGCAACCTTGCTCACCGAATGAGAAAAACCTTTCATTTACCCCATTGAATCTCGCTCAAGCCTTGACGACGTCAAATCCCTCCTCCAACTTATCCAAGGCATTCCGAATCTCGATGGCATAAGCCGGGATACCACCAGAGTAGCACACTGGTTCATAAACCTTGTCAGGGATGCTGCCACCCATGTACGTTGACCTCGTCGTGGGGAAGAGGGTCCTGTCGTTAAGCTCGATAACATGCTTCTTCCATTTATCAGCGGCTTCGATCTTCGGGTTGATGTACTTGATGCCATTGGCCTCAATCTTGGCAATAGCGTCGGCAATCCACCGGCCCTGCACCGCGACTGATGTGGGACCATTACAAAGGAGCGTCGGGCCGTGCGGGCCATAGATGTGGAACATGTTGGGGTAGCCGCTGACGGTGGTGCCGAGGTAGGTCTTTGCGCCTTGGATCCATTCCTTCTCAAGCTTGGCGCCGTTGATGCTCTTCAGGCCGAGCTGGGTCATGACGCCGGTGACAACATCCTGTGACTGTTAGTCTTTCTGCTCTCTTGTTGGTGTATCAAGCAGAACTTACAAATCCAGTTGCGACAGCAACGACATCAAGCTCATGGTGAGTTCCGTCTTCAAGGGTGATACCGGTCTCGGTAAACTCCTTGATCGGGTTATTCTTGATGTTGACCAGGTGCACTGATTCCCGGTTGAACTGCTCGTAATAGTTCTTCTCTAGACATGGCCGTTTGATACCAAAGTAGTGCGGCATCTCCCGCGGCGCAAGCAGCTCCCTCAGCTTGGGGTCGCCAACACGAGCACGAGTCTTCTTGGCCCAGAAATTGTACGACTCTTTGTTGGCTTCGGGATTAAACAAGTTATCCTTGTACAAGGCAACCCAATAGCGGAAGCCGCCGTCCTTTCAGACACTCTCGTAGAAGGCCTCGCGCTCCTCCGGCGTATCATCAAAGGTGTTGCGCTCGCACCAGCCATACATGAAGCCGGCATAGTTGGCCTCACGGTACCGGAACAACTCTGGGTAGTAGGGCTTGATGCGCTCCTGCTCCTTGACAGTGAGGTCGCGCTTGCGCATGGGCATGGCGAGGTTAGGAGTTCGCTGGAAGACCTTGAGGTCGCCGGCCTCGGGGCCCCAGGCCTGCGTGATTTGCACACCCGAGGCACCGGTACCGATGATGGCACAGCGCTTATTTTTCACGTCGACCTCTTCCTCAGGCCAGAAAGACGAGTGGTGAACGACGCCCTTGAACTTGTCCATACCGGGCCATGGGGGAATATAACGCTTGGCGGCCTAAACGCTTCATCAGTAGATGTTCGGTTGACTGATGGATGCAATGACTTACAAAGCCGGTTCCAAGGACGAGGTATTTGGCCTTGGTCATGCGACCATCTGCAGTCTTAATATTCCATTTCCCCTCCTTCGTATCGAATTGGGCTTCAACCACAACGGTGTTGAAAGCGCAGTCCTTTTTGATACCAATTACCTTGTCGACGTGATCAAAGTAATCACGCAGGTTTTTGTAGTCAGGGTAGTTGTTGGGCCAGTTCCATGTCTTGTATACCTCAGGCCAATAGAATTCGTACTCCGGGACTTCGGAGTCGACGCCGGCGCCGGGGTAGCAGTTCCATCTCCAGGTGCCACCCGTATCGTTGCCAGCCTCAAAAATGACCGTTTTCAGGCCGCGATCGCGGAGGGTCTTGAGCATGAAGACACCGGCTATCTAGTTAGCTGGTAGACGAAGTTTATAATTGATGCCGACTTACCAAAACCGGCACCCACGACCAAAGCATCGACCTCGAGGTTTTCGGCATATGGCCCAGTCTTATCGGCGTGGACTGCCGAGTAGTCAGTGAGCTCAGTGCTGTACTTCTTAGGCCTAGAGGCCGTCTCTCCTAATCTATCCATTTTGAATGAAGATTGAAATAATCAAGTGTTGCAGTTGCTGTAGTACTCATCAGAAGATTGGCAGTTTGAGATGTCTTTCAGAAATTTTCTTTCTTGGACAGCTTCTCCTATTTATGTTGACTTCATTGCGATACATATCTTGCTGCTGAGGTTAGCATACGCTCTCAACAGTATCACATTAATCATTGTGATACAGGTAACCGCAACTCTGTCGATTCAATCCAGTGTACACGTTCGTACTAGATACATCCTGCGTTCCCCACATGTCACCATTAGGTGTGCTGCAGCTGCCGCTGACTGAATATCCTCGGCCGCTAGTTGCGGTTGCGGAGCCGGATACAACGATCCCCGCACCCAGGTCCGCAATCCACAACGGTTCCGCAAAGTGCAGCTCCACAGCCGTATACAGCCGCTGCAGAATCAGGGGAACTCCTCATCGGTATCACAGACAGACTGGAGAATTGGAAAAATTACTTTCAACGGGCTGTTTGAGCCTACCATTAAATAAGCCACGCTTGCAGTCTCCCGGGTGTCACGGGCTCGGACCAGTAGATATAACTGTTGACTTCCGTATACACTGGAGGCTGATTGATATGCTCGCTGCTCCGACTGACCAATCAGAGCCCGACTAACCTACCTATCTACGACGTACGTTTTACTGCTGTCTGAAAGCATGTACGTACAGATATGATGAAAGATGATAAAATCGGACTACGGCTATGCAGCTAGCATCCTTTTACTATGGACCCCGCATACATGCATTATGTACTTTGTATTCCTTTTGTCTCTTTGGACTTCTTTCGCGCTTAGTTGATGGCCGCCAGATTGTTTATAAATAGGCCGTACGATCCCTTACGGACCTCAGGATATGACTTGGCACTACGGCCTGCGTGGAATGCAAGGGGGAAGTATGGACGAACCATATAAACATCCAACCATCCCCTTGTTCCTGTACCTTCTTTTCCTTCTCTCTTTAGCTATTCCTTCTTGTATGTACGGCATCCTTTTAGATTGAGACAATCGAAGTGTGACCCCTAACACTGGCGGCTATTAATCTAACTACTAAAGGAAAGTCGTTGCGAAAAAACAAAGCGAATGCAAAGTGCATAATGTATGTATGCGGGGTCCATAGTATAAGGGTGCTGGCCGCATAGCCGTAGTCCCCCGATCCTATCATCTTCCATCATATCTGTACGTACATGCTTTCAGACAGCAGTAAAACGTACGCCGTAGATAGGTAGGTCAGTCGGGCTCTGATTGGTTAGTCGGAGCAGCAAGCATATCAGTCAGCCTTCAGCGTATACGGAAGTCAATATTTGATAAGGACTGAATGTGGTATTCAGCAGGAAATTTCAAGGGTTCTCCACACTGCATACGCGACTGTCTTTAGACATACCCTGATAGGCCCAGACCACCGCAATGTTTGCCTGAATGGTTAAAGGCTTGAAGGAAAGAATTGATGAAATTGAGTATCACCCCAATGATAACGCGCTGATATGAAGTCTGAGTACAGACTTCCACTAAGGAGGGGGGTTATGTGATGGTCAACAGCTAACTGTGACGGCTCAACGGCTCAACGCCAGACAAACAGCGCCAACATATCAAACGATGCCATACAAGCAATATGGGCAAACAAGGGCTTAAGCCGCACCACACAAATGCCTATAAAGACCGTTCATCGCCTAGATAGATTTCCTTTGCTTCTTCTTCCCCAGATTCGATATTCTCGTCGTTAGGCTACCTAGTCTAGATATGAATATTATTCGTCTTATCTGCTAGTTTCCGAGCCCGTGACATTAACGACCAACTGCTGATAATGGCAAACACTGCCAACAGGGCAATATGAGCAAATAACAAGTGATAGCTCCATCACACGTGATTGCACGATGGGTAGATAGTTTTCCTTTGTCTTGCCAGAAGGCTTCCTTTCTTCTTCTTTTCCTCTCCAGATTCGATATTCTCGTCGAGACGCTACTACCTAGTCTAGATAGGAATATTATTTCGTTATTATCTACTAGTTATCGAGCCGTGACACACCTTTCCTCATTGACTGTGGATAAGCCCCGGAGTTTATTTGATTGGATGCCCATAGAGCGGTCATCGTCCTGAGATGTACAGATTAGTCGCCAACGAGCTCAGGATACTGCCAGGAAGATGGAAGACATATGGAGTGCTGTATCTGAGCAGATACAGAAGACTCAAGATCGACAAAATAAGCAAGCTGACTGACGAAGACGCCCTGTTGACTTTGATGTGGGTGATAGAGCGTGGTTATCACTCTGCCACTACCAGACAGACCGCCCAAACAAGAAGCTCGACAGCCAGATGGCAGGGCCCTTCCCAATCCTTAAACGCATGGGCAACTCTTACCAACTAGAGCTTCCTTATTCAATGAAGATACACTCTGTGTTCTCACCTGACAAACTGCGTCGTGTCGCCAGTGATCCTTTTCCAGGGCAGGTGACAGAGCCCCCAGAGCCAATCACCGTTGGAGATGATCAGGAGTGGGAAGTGGAAGAAGTCCTTGCTTCTTGAATATACCGCCGACGACTGCAGTATCAGGTGAAGTGGGTAGGATTTGACGAGAATTGAACGTGGTATTCAGCAGGAAATTTCAAGGGCTCACCACACCGTCTACGTAATTGTCACCAGAGATGTCAGAATAAACCAGGACCGCCGTGCCGCTTACAGGAATGGTTGAAGGCTTGGAATGAAGAGATTGATGAGGTCAATGGCCATCCTGATGATGATAAACTGAAACGGAGCCTAGGGACAGATCCTACTAAGGAGGGGGGTTATGTGACGGCTCAACGCCACATCTATGCCAACATCGACAAACATCATCAACATGGCAAACAATGCTCCCGAGACAATCAAGACAAACACCACCACACAACCCCTATAAAATCTCTTCTTGTAGATAGCTTTCTCTTCTCCTCCTTTTCTTCCCCAGATTCGATATCCTCGTCGATAGGCTACTACCTAGTCTAGATAGGAATGTTATTTCGTTATTATCTACTTATCGAGCCGTGACAGGTTGCAATGTCACGCATGACATCCCACATTCTGCCTCGACAGCATACTGGAGATGCAGAGATCGAAAGGGATTTATGTAACGACTGCAGTGCGTAATAAAGGAGTTGGCATGGTATCATATAAGTCATTTCACCTTCTTCGGGACCGCGTTGGTGGGCCATGAGATGTCTGCGTATGAATCCCTCGATCGAGTTAGAGGAATGTAGGAAGTGGCTCAGGATGTGCTGTGACACCCACGAAATATATCACCAAGAGCAACAGAGTACCTTTAGAAACTCGCGCTTTAAATTTTCACGGGCTCGGAATAGTAGATATTAACGAATTGAATTCCTATCTAAACTATTGTAGCCATCGACGAGAATATCGAATCTGGGGGGAAAGAAGAAGAGGAAATCTATCTAGAGGAAGAAGGGGTTTTATAGGCGTTTGTTTGACATTACCAATGTCTTGTCTGGCGTGTTGATGTCGTTTGCCTGTGTCAGTCGTTGACGCAGCGTTGAGCCGTCACATAAATCGGTGGATATGACAACTCGCAATGTACCTCGACCTTGGAACAGCATGAAATCTCCCTCTCATGCAACCTGTGTTTGGTATCCCGTACCCAGCTCTCACATTTTGTGACACCAGCGTCATCAGCTGCGATGTGGAATTCCAAAAATAATATATGTTACATATGCTACATATGCGATTCCTGGCGCCATATTAATTGCCAAGTTCGGAGGCCTCCGGTATCACTCCCATTGTTACTACACCAGCGGCAGATGAGCGAATCCATGGATCTGGCCTTATTGTAATGATGCCCCGTCATAGCTGTGGTAAGAACAGAAGAGACTACACTGCAACTCGTATTTCCAAATGCTGATGGCTAGTTATATTTGGTGTCTTGAATACGAGGTGGCATGTAAGTATGGCGTAGCTCTTATATTTTACTTTTCTGCTGATACATGAACTCTTCATATAAGAGAGTCTACGACAATCCCGGTTGAAATCTAACATAGTACACTATTCATTCAGCACACTACGAAATATCAATCTTTTTCTATTGCCCAGTCTTTCCAACTCACATTGGTATCTACCGCTGCCTTGAACCATTGCAATGAAGTTCTCAGCCCTTGCCGCGAGTCTGTGCAGCCTTACTGCTTTTGCCAGCGCCAACCTAGATGAAAAACGAGCGTTTAACGTGGCCTTAACTTTCTATGGCGTTGACGGATCCTCTTACGGGGAAACATTTCCAGCAGATACCACATCGGTCCGCATCGGTTAGTTCTCCCGTCACCTGTATCACCGAAGCGCTGCTTGCTAATTTGCCACAGACAATCCGACTGTGGTTAAGAGCATCTGGTCAAACGGAGGAGGATTTTGTACCATCATTGGCGCCGATGGTAGCTCCGTTGTTATTGCGGGAGAGGGAAACTATACTGTGAATCCTCCCCAGGTCCAGGTTCGGGGAGTCTGCGACAACCTGTGAGCACTTGGGTAGTTTATCTATAACTTACGTTGGAATAGTAACTTCTTGGGTTGAAGAGAAATTCGCTCACTGAATAGCTTGAAATATAAGAAAAAAGGCCTCTGACGGGAAGACCAACAATGAATTGTGTATTCCCTCGTATTTTGTCATGATTTCTTTCCCTACCAGGGTACGGATTTGCCTTCTTTGACGAAAGCAGCGATTGTACGGAGTACCTCGGGCTACTTGCCTCACGGGAGTATCTGCGATAATCAATCGCGGGGGGCACAGTACCCAATAGTTCTTCTGTGCTTGTTCGCTGATCCCGGATGCTGGTCACGATCATATTGGCTGAGCTACTGGTCACTGATTCGATAGCAAGATAACACAAGACCTTCGGACAACCCCGCTTCTGCTTCGGCATCGTGTTGCCGTCTTGAGTGACATTTTAAGGTCAAAATATGCAGGCTAATTTAGAGTGGCTTCTTAATCAATATACTTGTGGCAGTTTCCCTGCACAAGAGACAGGGATCATGTCAGAGATTCTTATTTAAAGGCCAGTGAAGGCAAGCTCTATGTACTTGAGCTCATAGCCGATCAACTTACAACGGTTTTATTCTGTGACCAATCATGTCCACCGGTTCTCGGCCATTAGCGTTACCCCCGAACGTCAGTCACGATGCATTTTCACGATTTATTTCAGCCTCCGAGGGGATTGTAGGTCGAGAAAACATCCACATTGTTACATCAAAGGAAGAGCTGGCGGACGGGTCCTACTACGAGCCACCGAAGACGCATGATCCTCATCATGTCGTGGAGCAAGACTACTTTGTAGCCTCAGCGGTGCTGAATCCAAGGTCTGTCGCTGAAGTGCAGGGACTAGTCCAGCTTGCCAATGAATACCGAATTCCTCTGTGGCCCACGTCCATCGGGCGCAACTCCGGTTATGGGGGAGCAGCTCCGCGATTGCGCGGCAGCATCGTGATTGACCTGGGCAAACATATGAATCGGGTTCTTGAGGTGAACGTTGACGCTGCTTATGCGGTGGTTGAGCCGGGCGTGACATTTGCAGGACTCCACGAATACCTGGTCAAGAAGGGCCTAAGTGAGAAGTTGTGGATTGACGTATGTCCATGGTTACCGTTCTGCGTAGTCTAACAATGGGCTCTAACCTAAAACCGAGAATGCCAGGTACCGGACATTGGCGGTGGATCGGTCATGGGAAACACGTTGGAACGAGGCGTGGGATACACCCCGTATGGAGGTAAGTGATGCACGTTGCAGCAATTCAAATATTAACGAGACCTTCGTGCTGACACTCAATCGACATAGACCATTGGATGATGCATTGTGGCATGGAAGTCATCCTGCCGTCCGGAGAGCTACTCCGTACAGGCATGGGTGCATTGCCCCAAAATCCCAGGACATCGGTGCATCCCAGTCACGAGGAGGCCGGGAATAAGTGCTGGCAGCTCTTCCCGTACGGATTTGGTCCGTACAATGATGGCCTCTTTTCGCAAAGCAACCTCGGAATTGTTACCAAGATCGGCATGTGGGTATGATCTCCCAGACTTATCCCTGACTTAGGGCTCCAATCTCGCAGACTGACTTGAATCTAGTTGATGCCAAATCCTGGGGGATTTCAAGCGTATCAGATATCACTGCCCAGAGACGAGGATCTTCACCAAGCGGTCGATATCATACGGCCTCTTAGATTGGTAAATCCACAATCCTCCGTACTTGCCACGAGATATTGACGAAAACACAGCAAATGATTATCCAGAATGTCCCGACCTTGCGTCATATCCTCCTGGATGCAGCAATGCTCGGTTCAAAGACAGACTACACTTCTGACACTGAAAAGCCGCTGAATGAGGCTGAGCTGGACGCAATCGCGAAGAAGCTGAATTTGGGCCGGTGGAACTTCTACGGAGCACTCTATGTGAGCTGTTCATTTTACACACGTTCAGGTTGACGATTCTGACTCCAATTGACAGGGCCCGGAGCCGATTCGCAACGTTATGTGGTCACAGATTAAACAAGCGTTTTCGTCAGTCAAGGGTGTTCACTTCTTCTTCCCAGAAGATGTCAAAGGCAACCATCTCCTACAGACTCGTGCAAAGACCCTTCAAGGCATTCCGACATTTGATGAGCTGCGCTGGGTTGACTGGCTGCCGAACGGAGCGCATCTGTTCTTCTCCCCTATTAGTAAAATCTCCGGTGATGATGCGATGCTACAGTACAAGGTTACGAAGAAGCGCTGCGTCGAGGCTGGTCTTGACTTTATGGGTGCTTTTGCTGTTGGCATGCGAGAAATGCGTGAGTGTCTACATTTATGAGTTGGCGTGTGCTGTCTAACATCCACAGACCATATCGTTTGTATCGCGTTCAACCGGGGAGATCCCGAGTCCAAGAGAAAAGCACATTGGCTGATCAAGACCTTGATTGCGGACTGCGCGGAGCATGGGTGGGGCGAATATCGAACGCATCTAGCACTCATGGACCAGATTGCGGAAACATACAACTGGAATCACAATGCGCTCATGCGATTCAACGAGACGGTGAAGAATGCGCTTGACCCGAATGGAATTCTGGCTCCGGGAAAGAATGGCGTGTGGCCTGCTTCGTATGACAGGCGTTTATACAAACTATAACTCTTCTCGCCTTGGTCGAAGCATTTTGGCAGTTTCATATTTCTCTCTGGCAAGCACGTCTTGCACAACTGTACAAAGCAGGCATTCGCGTTGGCCAGTCATCGATGGGTAGATAAATATTTAGAACGCTCTCGTCTCTGGTCTGCAATGAAATTTGTGTATCGAATAAATTGTAGAATGTTCTGGAGTCCCAGAACATGATAACAAACGGGCTTTTCACATAAGCTTACATCACTGTACGGACAATTCCGCACTGCTTGATAATCCCCGAGTCGATTATCAACAATTCTGACGAATTCGTAGCAATCGTGCACGCAACACCGGCGAGAGGTGGTGCGATGCCGGATGCAATAGACAATCGTTCCATGAGTGGTGGAAGGCCGATGGCGTCAAGATCCCCGGAGTTCGTATGCTTCATGATGCCCGCACTATAAATACTGCTCAAGTTCGTTCGATAGAATCATTACCGGTCTCAGCTACGATCCAATTCACGTGTGCTTTTACAAGATGTCGCCAAAAGTTGCCATTGCCGGGGTAAGTTTGCTCTTTTAGTTTGATATCCATCATGTATGCTGATGTATCTCTCAACCACAGGCGAGTGGAAATCTTGGCCCAACCGTTCTCGCAGCCCTTGTCGACGCTGGGTTCGATGTCACGGTCCTGACAAGAGACAACAATGATAACAAGTTCGACCAACGAGCCCGTGTCACTCAGGTGAACTACGACTCGTTGGAATCGCTGACCTCCGCTCTGGCCGGCCAGGAGGTGGTGGTCAACACGCTTGGTGTCGGACGAATCCCCAGGGAGACTCATCTTCGATTGATCGATGCTGCCGTTGCGGCACACGTTCAGCGATTCATTCCCTCCGAGTTTGGCGGCAATACTACCAACCCACGTGCCGCACAGCTTCCCGTTTATGGGGACAAAGTAGCTGTTCAGAAGCACTTGCAAGAAGCGTCCGCCAACTCCAACGGCACCTTCTCCTACACTTTTCCGATCACGGGGCCTTTCCTGGACTGGGGCTTGAAGAGCAAGTTTCTGCTGAACCACACGGGCCCGGAAGTTGAGCTGTACGATGGCGGTGATCAGAAATTCAGTGCCACGACACTGGCCGGCATTGGACGGGCGGTATCTGGGATCATCCGCAATCTAGACGCGACAAGAAACCAAGCTGTCTACGTTAGTGAGGCCGACGTGTCGCAAAAGGGGCTCCTTGAGCTATCGGGCAAGCAGCTTGCGACGAAGACGGTGAGCACCGCCGAATTGGAAAAGGAGGCTTATGAAGAACTTGGCAAGCCCAACCCGAATCCAGCCGTTTTTGCCTTCAACTTTCTGCGACGGGCTATCTTTGGCGAAGGTTTTGGTGGTTTGGTAGCTCCGGAGGAGTTGTCGAACGACTTGCTCGGTGTCCGGTCATTGAGCGATGCAGAGATCAAAAACATTGTGGTGAAGAATACTTGATACCTGTACAGGGGGTACGATGTGCTTTCAATGAGCGATTTGCCATAGATTACAGGCCCACATAGGCCAAAATGGACATGACAGGGCTGCCAATCATCCAACGTTGCTTATTCGCCCGTGTGGGCCACTCTTGGCGGAGACTACTCGGTTGTTGACCTGAAATCTCATTCAATATACTTGTACAAGTACGTATTACCAGAAGGACCGTCCACGTCCGCACATCCGTATGTCCGTAGACCAGTGATAAATCAGACTCGGACCGGTCTGGCCTCGATAGGATGCATTTCCGGGTGGAACAAACCTTGCAGCGATCCTGGGGCAGTTCATCTTCTATCGACCATGGGGGTTCCGGGGGTTCTCATTGGCGCTTCCAGGTGATTTAGTTGAGTGTCCGTAGTTAAACCCCGCATTATTCTCGTGCATACGGAGTAGTCCAGCGTCACAGGACATGCATTGAATTTCTGACTTTCCGTGATAATCCGCACCATATGGAATCTGTACACCATGATAACGATAACCACGATGTACCAATGGGCAATGGGGTATACCCCTATAATCGAGGTGGAATAGAGGACCGTCAGGACCAATGTGGGGGGCTACCCGCAATACTAGACCGGAATCGGACGTTCTCCGGGCAAAGGTACTGATGTCATTACGGAACAATGATGCCCCGGTGCACATATGCACCTGTATTGTACATGCAGATACTCTGTCTGTACAGAGCAACACAATGATATTGTATGGTCTCAATTGAATAGTACATAGTACATTACATAGTAGTTATATAGTACATAGTAGTAAGAAAACTAGAGAAGCGGAAAGAAAGCCGCGGGATGTCGTCAATTCCCCACCAGACCCCGCACCCGTGGTTAGTCAGCCAACCATAATTATGCTGCGTTCGACCGGTTTCCTGTTTGAGAGGGCACGTGTCTATAAAACCTTTCCTCGTCCACCACCCTCGTCCTCTCTTCTTTCTCTTCCACCTCTCACCTCTTTCACGATTCTAATAGTAATCCATCATCATGTCTCTTACTGCTTCTATTCAGACCCCTAACATTACTGTTGAGCAGCCCGTGGGCCTGTACGTCTTCCTCGCTCTGAGCTACCCCCCCTTGGTCCCTAGCTCCCTAGGTCCCTAGCTAATACACTCCTTTAACTACAGGTTCATCAACAACGAATTTGTCAAGGGTTCCGAGGGCAAGACCTTCGAGACCATCAACCCCGCCAACGAGCAGGTTATCACCTCCGTCCACGAGGCCAACGAGAAGGATGTCGACATCGCTGTGGCCGCCGCCCGCAAGGCCTACGAGGGTGAATGGAGCCGGGTTACCCCCTCCGACCGTGGCCGTCTCTTGAACAAGCTGGCCGACCTGATTGAGCGCGACATTGATGCTATCGCCGCCATTGAGGCCCTCGACAACGGCAAGGCCTTCACCATGGCCAAGGTCGACTTGGCCAATGCTCTGGGCTGCATCCGTTACTACGCCGGCTGGTCCGACAAGATCCACGGTCAGACTATTGACACCAACTCCGAGACCCTCTCCTACACCCGTCACGAGTCCATTGGTGTCTGCGGTCAGATTATCCCCTGGAACTTCCCCTTCCTCATGTGGTCGTGGAAGATCGCCCCCGCCATTGCCGCCGGTAACACCGTCGTCCTCAAGACCGCCGAGCAGACCCCTCTTTCCGGTCTGTACGCCGGTAAGCTCATCAAGGAGGCTGGTTTCCCCCCTGGTGTGATCAACATCATCTCCGGTCTCGGTCGTGTCGCTGGTGCTGCCATCTCCAGCCACATGGACATTGACAAGGTTGCCTTCACCGGTTCCACTGCTATCGGCCGTACCATCCTCCAGGCCGCTGCCAAGAGCAACCTCAAGAAGGTCACCCTCGAGCTGGGTGGCAAGTCCCCCAACATCGTCTTCGAGGATGCTGACATTGACAACGCCATCTCGTGGGCCAACTTTGGTATCTTCTTCAACCACGGTCAATGCTGCTGCGCCGGCTCGCGGCTGCTTGTCCAGGAGAGCATCCACGACAAGTTCGTCGCTCGCTTCAGGGAGCGTGCCGCCCAGAACAAGCTCGGTGACCCCTTCGCCGCCGACACCTTCCAGGGTCCTCAGGTCTCCCAGCTCCAGTTCGACCGCATCATGGAGTACATTAAGTACGGTAAGGAGGGCGGTGCTACCGTTGCGCTCGGTGGTGAGCGTCACGGCGACAAGGGCTACTACATCCAGCCCACTCTGTTCACCGATGTCACTTCCGACATGAAGATCGCCCAGGAGGAGATCTTCGGCCCCGTCATCACCGTCCAGAAGTTCAAGGACGCGGACGAGGCTATCAAGATCGGTAACAGCTCTCAGTACGGTATGTTGTTTGTGCTTCCCCTTGATTCCTTGATTCCATACTAACGGCTTAGGTCTCGCTGCCGGTGTCCACACCAAGAACGTCAACACTGCCATCCGTGTGTCCAACGCTCTCAAGGCCGGTACCGTCTGGATCAACAACTACAACATGATCTCCTACCAGGCTCCCTTTGGTGGTTTCAAGGAGTCCGGTATCGGCCGCGAGCTGGGATCGTACGCCCTGGAGAACTACACCCAGGTCAAGGCCGTCCACTACCGCCTGGGCGATGCTCTCTTTGGTTAAATGATACCTGTTTAGCGTGTTTATTAGTTATTGCGATTCTTCTTAAAAATGAAATGAATCATGATGTACAATGTCCTCCGTGTTTGCATGAAGCGTAGTTCGTAGCACTTTCTACCGTCTGTGTTTGCTTTTGACTTTGAAAGAGAAAGAGTTGTAGTTGTACTACTCTAACCTAGGCTGTTCCAGGCATGTTCACAACCAAGTCTGCACTTACGCAGGTACGTACCCATGCATCGTACGAACTTGGACAAGGGTCGACCGCTTGCTTACTTTTTGTTTTTTTTTTTTTTTTTTTTTTCTTAATCCCGAGTGGCCATTGGATACGACACTCTACATACCTCTCCACGTACTTTCGTTCGGGAAACAATACCCCGAGCAAACCCCGTCGGTCACTTTTACACGGGGGAATAGTCCTCTGCTTCACAGTACCCGAAGCCACGGAAGGAAGATTCGAAAGGAATCCAAACACCGGGTGAGTAATGGGATATGCTGGACAAAGACGCATGGTCCCCGTCCCGATCGTTCATGCAGTAATCTTAGGTGACACCGAGGTTGACACCAAGCCCCTCCTTACCAGATCCGTCCGTCGGGCTTCTTAGGGCTAAGTCCCTGCGAGATTTCTCCCGATTATCGTCCAAGATCCAGTGGTTCCTCTCCATTGGATCCGCCTCTGGGTTCAGCCTCTGGGTCCCCGGGATATTTTTCTGCTTGTTGAACAAGCATGACAGGTGTCGTTCTACGGAATACATGTTTGCATATTGAACCACTGACGCGTCCGCAAAGATATATCGAGCACTAGGGTGTCAAACAATTGATGCCCTCTTGCAGTAGTATTTTTTTTTTTATTCATTGTATATCGATGCTAGGCACCCGGAAATATCCCTTTTTTCTCTTTCAAGGCGCTTGGATGATTGGTGGTGGATTTCCAGCTTCAAAATCCCGATGTTTACCGAGCTTTGAGCAGATGCCAGCACTGACAGCCGAAGATTTGATGGACCAATCCACCTGAATGGTATCTATAGTCAGGTTTTATGCACAAGAATTTACAAAAGAGAAATATTCCTCCAGACTAGCGACATCGGATCCAATCCAGCCGACATGCTGGTCCGGCCGACAAACCGCGACGCACCCATCTTCGACTCTGTATCCTTCATATGCATCCACATCCGCAAATACTCTGGAATAATCCCATCCGAAGCTCTCATCGAACGGGTGGAAGATATCAGGGAGATCCAGAATAGATATATCCGTTCGAGGACTAGAATGAACCAACAGCATTTCGATAGGTATACGCATGGTCTCCAGACGTGGTTTGAAGTCTTCTGCAAAAGAGTCGAGGCAACGTCGGTTTTGGTCCCTGTGAAGATCCCCAGAGAATACAAGTATCCTCCAGTAACCATTACTGACAAGTCTCTCTGCAAGATGCAGTAGAGACGCAGACGCCTGGTAAACGACTCGAAACGACGGCAATCTCATTCCCACCCCAAGATTCCTCGCCATGCTGTCTTTTCTGGTTGTAACAAGAATGTTCGACGGATATTTCACCTGCACCCCCGTCATGAACCCCGTGTACCGTTCTCGAATCTCATCCACACTGCTGGTATGTCCGCCCGTCCCGGGTTGCTGCTCGTAAGCATGCACGAGGTCTGAGTCCATGCGCATGAGCTCCTGAGCTACAGGGCGCCGTTCATAGTTGTACGTCTCGAGAATGGATGGATCCACTTGGCCTAGAATAACAGAGGCAAGTTTCCAGACCAGGTTGTGCGTGTCTTGCATGGACACGTTCATGCCTTGTCCTCCTTTGGGGGAATGTGTGTGGGCTGCGTCGCCGGCAAGGAAGATCCTACTTAGTCAGTTATAGTCCGGATATAACCGGGTAGTGGACATACCGATTGCGAATTCTATACTCCGGAACTAGTCGTTGTCCTATCTACGAAAGTCAGCGGTTGCGATTATTCCATCAGTGCATTGACATACATGATACAACGACCACCAGTCGCAGCGCTTAAAGTCCATTTTATATGGTTCGTATGTCCGCTGAGCGATTTGCAATAGCCGCTTTGGCGTTGTCTCGTCGTGTGCGTTTTGTATCGCTTGTTGTGCCAACTCGTCGTCGCTCTTGAGCTGGATGTATAACCGGATCAGACGGTTCTCACGCGGCAGCTGCATAATTCCGCTTCTCGAGCAAGCGTGGATGGCGGAGGATTGGCGGATATCGGCTGGTACGGGGTCAGCATTACTCCTTACGCTGGAATAGAAGACGTACGGAAATCACTGATTGGGACGATGTCCATCACACCCCAGGTAGACTCTTCAGAGGGCGCAGACAGTGCATCCATTGGGATCTGAAGTTGGTGTCTCGTCCAGCTGTGTACTCCGTCGCAGCCGATCACGTATTGTGCTTTTATTGTGTCCTTCTCACCTTGACCACGACTAACACGGACGACAGGCAAGTCATCATGATTGATTTCCAACGATTCAGCCGCCGTGTTCCATTCGACCTGCACTCCCTTTTCGCGCAAATAGTCAATCATCACCTCCTCCATAATCCCCTGGTTGAGAAGTCGTTGGCTGAACCGTGACAATTCCTCAGGCTGGCTTCGCAGTCTTTTCTCCCGCTGAAGCTTCCCATGTTTCTCATCGCGACCCTATGTCTGTTAGCAACGTTCAATCGCGTTCTGTCCGTTGACCAACCCAGTAACACATCTCAATCTCCTGGGCACCCAATCGCATGATCCGATCTACGATCCCGAAGCTATCGAGGATTTCCAGTGTCCGACTATGAATTCCGTCTGCATGACCGGTCGGTTTTCGTGATGGATGCTTGTCGATAATGCGCGTTGATACCGGGTACTGGGAGGCCCAGCAGGCCGCCAGAAGACCTGCTGGACCGGCACCGACAATTAGCAGGTCGATTGGCATTGGTATAGTGTTCCTTTGACTGTGTCCCTGTAGACTCTCAGCTTCATATCTATGGTTCAATTGAACTCCTGTTCATACGTCACTATGAAAGTGGCGTATCTTCAAAAAGTTGTATGATTTCCTTCTTTGGGAGGCTATCTCCATGACATCATGTATACATAGCCCTCGTTGGAACCCATTTTAAACCTCGAATTCTGGTCCAGCTCGAATAAGCATCTCAATTCAATCAATCCATTACTCGTTCAAGATGTCCTTCACCAGAACGGCCCTCCGTACTTCCCTGCGTTCTCTCCGGACACCCCGTCCGACACAATTCACCCGTCAATATGCTTCGGAACCCTCGCAGAGCAAAAAAACCTCCGAGATGCCGATGTTGGTAGCCTTTGCACCTCTCACAATGTTATTCGCTAATCTCCACAGTGCCGTGGCAGTGGCGACCGTCACCGCCGCAGGAGGCTACTACCTCCTCCAGTCTGGTCCGGAAGGCAAACCCCAACATGAAAGTGATGAAAGTAAGCAATACGCCAAGGGCGAAGCGATTGAATCTGTATCCAAAGCCAGTGAGGCTACGCTTCAGCCGGACCGCGACGCAGACCAGAAGGTTTCTTCATCTGGATCGAGTGGTGGTGGTTCACTAGGACAGCCGCCTTCGAATATAGATCCTGTACGTTTCTATTTTGATATCCTCCTTCCACAATAATACTGATTTAGAGCAGGCGGGCGCGCGCAAGGAAGAAGGTGGTGCTGGAACAATTTCCGGGAAACAGGCCGGTCTATCTAATGCTACCACGGATAACCCGTTCATCAATGAGCCGGGTAAGAGTAAAAAGGGCGAAGGCGAGACTGAAACGGCCAAGGTCAAGGGATCAGTATCTCCAAGCCGGCCTCAAGTGTGATTGTATTATATGCGTCTAATAATCCTATTGCATGATTGAATGTTACAGCTATTATGTATTTATAGTATAATTTAAGCAATATACAGTCCCAAAGTTCAGTTAAACAGGAATCTGTCTGTGTCGAGACGCACCATCCATCGGGGTCAAGTTAGACTTGGCTGGTCCATCGACACAGACGCCCTCGCAGCTGAATCGACTCCCATGCACCGGACAATCCCAGCTCTTCTCTGTCTGGTTCCAGCTCAGGACACCTTTCATATGAGGACACACCGCGCTGAACTTGTACGTCTGTCCCTCTCCGTCCTTGTAAACGGCCACTGGCTTCGATGTGATACCATCATGGAGCACACCGCCGCTGTTGGCCCCGAGATCTTCGATATCCTTGATGTCGGTCTGTAGGTAGCGCTTGTATTGCATATTGATCTGGACATCGTGTTCCAACATGGTGGGCAAAGACTTGGCAATGCTGCTCATACGACTGGGTTTGTAGAGGGAAGCCCAGGGATTCTTGATTCCGCCGATCTCGTCCGCCAGCAATCGTCCAGCCAAGACGCCATGGGTGAGCCCGTCGCCGCTATCGCCCGTCACAACGTACACGTGGTTCTGACCCTGGTTCTTGCCGATGAAAGCCATATAGTCGACGGGTTCGAAGACCTGTCCGCTCCAGCGGTAATCCACAGACCCGGCTTGGGGGAACCGTTCGCGGGTCCAGGTCTCCAACTCGTCAAAGCGGCCGTTTACATCTTCTTGCCCGACTTTGTGGTCGCAGCCGCCGACCACCATGTAATCGTCCTGGTCGTCGCAGGCGGTCAGTCGCGCGTACTTGTATGCCTCTGCCTCGTCGTAGATAAGACAGTCCTTGACAGTACCCTGGGGAATACGGATGGCAATACAGTATGTCCGGCAGTACTCCATCTCCGCAATAATGCTGAGCTTCTGTAGCGGCACACAAGTTGCTTCGACGGCGTCGCGTGCCGTCACGGTGTAACCAGGTTCGGTTTTGACGTGGACAACATCTTTCTCTTCAAGGGATATCATGCGCGTCTGCGCAAAGCACTGGAAATTTGGCTGTTTTGACAGCCATTCGAGAACACCGAGGAAGTATCGGGTTGGATGGAATGTCGCCTGGTCATGGAAGACAGCCCCGTCGCGCTGGTCCGGCTCCCCATCCCAGCCGGGAACCGCGAGACCTTCACGGAAGGTCGCATTGAGGCCAAGTTTCTGTGCCAGCTCGACTTCCTTTTTCAGCCCGTGAATCTCATGCTCGCGCTTGGGGTCTTCCCTGTTATACTGCGAAAATTCGTATGCCGGAAGTCGACGGTATTCACAGTCAATCCCGAGTATCTTCGTGATTTCCCCGACACGATCAATGGCCCAGCCATGACTGTCGGCCGCAATCTGCGCGCCATGAAAGCCGTGCTTGCTTTGGATCTGTTCGTATCCATCGTCCAGCGCGTTGGTCAGATGTCCACTCGTGCGACCGCTCTCCCCGGACACGATATGGCGCGCTTCGAGCATGGTTACCCGTTTACCGCGGTTGACGAGTTCATACGCGGTGGATATACCCGCTATGCCGGAACCGATGATGCAGACGTCGGTGGAGATATCGCGGTCTATGGTCGGGAAGCGAGGGTATTCGGAGTAGGGCATGCGATGGACCCAGACGGAGTCTGAGTCGCCCGATGTGTTCATGAAATGCTGGGGCTTAGCGGATGACATGGTTGCGAGGGTTCTGACAGATGTTTTTGACCGATACAATCTGATAAGAGATCATTGTTGCTGATGTCGATCAGATACCGTTCGTACATAGATATAGACCGGAGGCAATGTGACGTACAAATGAGAGCTTCCAGATGACATCGAAATGACTGCCATTTTAAGGTATCCATCAGTCTGACGTGTAGCACTATACCGAGGCGAAAACAACAATAATCCATTGTTGTACACTATAAATTACTATTAGGTAGACAATAGCAAATGTCAGGAAACAGATTAAAGTCCATGTGCGGTCAGCTTAACTATAAGCACAGCCCATTACAATCAGACCCACGAGTCCAGCCACCGATTACCACAGTTCTCGCCATGCTCAGTTCCAATAATCATGTCTGTTAACCGATCTATTGCAAGGCTTTGCACATTGCATCGTGTTATAGATGAGATTGATATTGAGAACAGATAAGCCCAAGTATATCACCATCGTGCTTCCAGCTCCTGTGGTCTCGGGTGTTTGGTCGCTTCCAACTCTTGTAGTCGTGTTGCTGGTGCCGGCGCTGCCATCCCTTGAGGCATCACAGTCTGTCCGCCGGGCCCAGGCTGTTGTCCGGGAAAGGGAGCTGCCGCAGCAGCGGAATTCAGCAGCGCATGTCTCTTCTTCCGTTCAAAAAGAGCCCATCCCAATGCTGTGAGGAACAACACACCCAGTGGCACGCCCACACCAGCCCCGATGGCGACGTCTCGATTGTTGTTATTGCCGGAATCCTTCGCGGTCAGGTTCGAGAGGTATGCGCGCCCTTGGATGGCCGTACCGCTTGCGAGTTTGAAAGAATCTTCCTTGTTGGCACAGACGGCAGCACTTCCGTTCGACGTAATCGCGTTGCAACAGTAAGTGGTGTCTTCTCCGTTGGCTTCAAGAGGTATAATTGCGCATCCACCGTTAGGATTGTCCGATTCTGCATTAGGGTCACAAGTGCTATGGTTAGTCGATTTCTGCCACTAACTTGAGGTATAACAAATGCCGGAGAAGGCTCACCGCCGATGCATACTTGCGGACAGCCAGTTCCCCAGTTCAGATCCGTACAGGCCGCCCGCGAAAATCCGTATGGCTGGACGTGTCCGGCATTCATGCAGAGGCCGTTGGCCATACAAATGTGGTCGCTGCTACAGCATGCGGTCTGTTCGTCGTCCGAACACGGCGTATGGTCCAAGGCCTTTGTGTTATTGGGATAATAGCATGGCCGATAATTATCGGCACCCAGAACAGCTGAGGGGGATAAGAGGAAGAGCAATAGCAGCGACGTTAACAACATTTTGGAAAAGTGATTCACAAAAGGAACAAAAAAGAGAAAGGTAACAGATGAGAAATTTTGACTTGAGCGTGAGGCGCATTCCACCAACTCGTATTTACCTCGTCTACTCCGTATCGGCGCCGGCAAATCGTGTACTCCGTACGGCCCAAGGCTGATCCATCTCTGTCACGATTGGGTGTCACGGTTTTTCTCGGCGTCAGAACTAGGGAGTTTGGATCCGTTCATTGGCCGCGGGTCCATCCGAATAAACAAAGTTGGTCCCTGCTTTAGTCCAAATAAGGAAGGTTGACGGGAGCAAACAGACACGCTTCGGCTTGGACGGTGTCTGATTGGACAAGTATCAGACCATTGAGATTATTGTGGACGATCAGGACCTTTTTGAGAAAGTCCCCGTTTCTTAGGCATGCAATTGAGATCCTTCGGATTGACCCACGGAGAATCTCGGTGTTCCGTCGTGTCTGGGCTGACTGTGTGTCTTACGGAGTAACTACGGAGGACGGAGTAGCATTTAAGACTACGAATTGTTCTCTCCGCATGAAGATATTCGTCAACATTCCGGTACGCATTCCATTGCGGCATTGTGTGTATATTTTCGCCGTTTCCTGAAGCCGACGACGGAAAAGTGCTCATGCATCTTCCTACTACCTTGTTCCAAGAACACCCAACGACGAATCGTCGTCCTGTTCCAGCCTAGAGGGCGAGACGAGTGCAAGAAAGGACAGCCACATTGAATCTCTATTCGATTTCACGTTCCAATATGAAGTCATTAACGGTTCGGAATAGGGCAGGAAAGTATCATTACAATCGTAACTTTGACATCATATATACAGGTCGTTATTGTACATTATTTTAATCCCATTTCATAACAATCGTAACCATAATAATACAGATAGCATAACTCGTCATCTGAAGCCCAATCAGCTGGTATATCCGATTACATCCTTCAGCTTGTCCCATCCCGGCAGCGTCTCGGGATGCCCGGGCTTATGGGCCATGAAGCTGCGGTCCTCGCTGGGGTTGGGAGGTTCCTCAAAAAAGGATTCATCGTTATCTCTTGAAGTGCCCTTTTGGTTGGCCAATGTGGTGAATTGGCCGGTAGTCTGTTGATGTGTTAGCGAGATTCATATCTTGATATGCATGGTATAGCAGCCAAGCATAATGGGAGAAAAATGCATACAGGACCGCTGCCTTTGGGATATCCAGAATCGCCCAGACCAGAGCCACTGCCGGTGTTGGTGGCTGGTGTTTCTCGGGTACCGACACCACCGCGAGGAGGGTTGGTTCGCGCGGGAGCCATGGTGTGTGTACTTTTGATGTTTTAAGATAAACGATGGATTCAGATAATGTGGCTTGTGAGAATAGCTGTGAGGATAATTGGGATATCCTTTGGATAACCAGAGAATATTTATATATAGCTTGACTATGAACCGGATTTAACTATGTGGCGAACATCTGATTAGACATCAGGAATAATTGGTATCACCATTAGGTATGGCTACCAGAACCAGAGGAGAATATACTATCACTTTCTTATTCCGAGCATGTTTCTATATTTGTTTCGCTATACATACGTCATGCTGATAACACGAATACTGGTTGAGAAAAGGTCAAAACAAGTATACAGTTCCATTGCGACGGTTTACTGCATTGCACGTCACGATTGATTCCCTTGTGCAGACACGTATATATCTGGCTTCGTGATTTACTTCGTTCCCGATATTCAACCAGAGAACCCTCCAACGATAAATTTACCGATACACTACGGAAATGGCCGAACAGAACAACCAGCGATTCCAGCTCGAAAACGTCTTCAATGTCAAGGGCCGAGTCGCCCTCGTGACTGGCGGTGGTTCTGGTATCGGCCTCATGGCCACCCAGGCTCTGGCCGTCAACGGTGCCAAAGTATACATCACCGGCCGGACGGGCGAGAAGCTCGACCGGGTGACTGAACTGTACGGCAAGAACATTTCTGGACAGATCATTCCCCTTACCTCCGACGTCACCTCCAAGGACTCGATCGCGAAACTGGTCAAGGAGATCGAGTTCAAAGAAAAAGCGCTGCACATCTTGATTAACAACGCCGGCATTTCCTCCACACCCGGCAACACCGATGCCGAGGATCCCAAGCAACTCCAGCAAGAACTCTTTCAGGATTCGATCAGCACCTTTGATGAATGGGAGAACGTCTACCGGACCAACGTCACCCAGGCCTTCTTCACCACCGCTGCCTTCTTGCCCCTGTTGCAGAAGGGCACCGACCTTGACCACGGCTGGTCGAGCACCGTCATCAACATCACCTCCATCTCTGGTATTATCAAGACCTCCCAGCACCACTTTGCCTACAACGCCAGCAAGGCCGCCGCCATACACGTGAGCAAGATGCTGGCGCACGAGATCGCTTCGTCCGGCTTGAAGATTCGGGTGAACAACATCGCACCGGGCGTGTTTCCGTCCGAGATGACGGCGAAGAGCAGCGATGAAAAGCAGAAGAGCGATCTGCCCAAGGAGAAGTACGAGCAGAAGGTGCCGGCCAATCGTCCCGGGAAGGATGAGGATATGGCGGGTGCAGTCCTGTTTACGGCTGCGAATCAGTACTTGAACGGGCAGACCGTGGTGGTTGATGGTGGATATGTTTTGGCTGCGGGAACTGTTTAAGATATTTGCATGTAAATTAGTTAAATAGCCGATAGTAATGCACAAGCTGGACTTGGACTTGCTGTACTGTCAAACAATCATATGTTCCACTTAGCGAGCATCGCGCACAAGAATTGAGGCTCCGCGTACACACAAAAATAATGGCTTATTCGTCGTCTTATATCAACGGAGACAACTCGTCCTGACTACCCCCAAAGAGATCTCCGCGGATGGACTCCACGCTGGTCTCGAGTCATTACAGAACACAGTTGTACTCGTCAGGGGCCATTCACAATCAATGGATATTGCACCACATAGCTTGGATTCCGGCATGTTCGGCCAGCCATTCTTGAACTCATCTGCCATGTATCCGCCACCGTAGAAGCAGACCGGCGCGATTCGTGCAATGTGATTAGTCGGATATAGTTCCCGGATGTGGATAGTACCATGAATTTCCTGAAGAGACAGGAATTCCATGCCCTGAGCGGCGGGCAATGGTCACAATGATAAGCATCCATGAATTCCTTCGCAGAATCAGAGTCGAATGCTCAGACACCAAATGATTAGATCATTACATCAAGGGGATTATCGTTTGCTTTCTTGGCATTCATTTTGGTCAAGATTCTTGCTACATCATTGTGAGATGCCCTGGGTACCAGTTGTCAATGTCATGTGGCGCGAGTTTGTCTCTGGACGTAAAACTAATTTCAAAAAAAAAAAAAATAAAAATAAAAACATTTTTTTTTTTTGTTTTTGTTTTTGCTGAATGCAAACGTTCCTGAAACTATCAATCTCTTCAAAATGACGAGTTTACGAGACATCCAACCTTTAACCTCTTCAAACAATATCCCAACCCTTCGTTCCACACCGTCGCTCGAGCGTTCATCATCATATGAAAATCCAGTCAGTAATCCCCCGAGTGAAGTCAGCAACCAACGAGAGCCAGAATACCAGGTCAAAGCTACCTTGACCGAACTCCTCAATGACACGCGGGTCAAGTCGAGCACAAATGGCAGCAGACGAGTGCAGAATGCCTTGATGGAGACTGAGCAGGAGCTACGACAGCAAAGGCGACAGTCAACGCATAGCCGGCGAGGAAGCAGGGATGATTCAGGGCAGAGTAATTCATTTGTATCGGGAGAGAAATATCAAAATCCTGTGAAGTCCTAACATGATACATTGCATGGTATATAATAGTTTCGCGTGCTATTCAATCCAGGTGTAATACGTATAAAAGCTTCCGTTGTTGGTATAATACAGCATCGTCATTCATAACGTGAGCAGAACATAGTACATCACAACCATATCCACCGATTAAAGCCCGCCGCCTTTCTCCTTCTCCGTCGCCTCGATAATATCACTGTTGTACCGCGGATCCAACTTGTTCGGCACCTTGCTCGAATGCGGCTGCTGTGGTGCGCGTGCGGTGGCATTGCCGCCGGGGCCTGGGAATGAGCCCTTGTTAAGGGCCTTATCGGTGGTATCGTGTGCGTTTGGGGGGTTGATGTCGACGTTTTTAGCGTCGGTGGGTTGGCGCTGCGTGAGGTTGGTCGGGTTGCTTTCGGACATTTTGGTATGTGGAGGAAATAGATATTGATTAATTGAGAATCTGAGTTAATTGACGGGGTTGGAATTGATTGAGGTGATGTCCACTCGATTTGATAATGTAGTAATTGTCCGTAGGGGCGTCCTTGTATAACATATAGGCCATGCGTCATAGCGATGTCAAGCGGGTTCGGTCATGGTGATATCGCAACACCAGGAGCCCTAACCAGATGCGATAGCTCTATCAAAATATCATGAATATGATGGGTCATAACCCCCTGTGTAAAATGCTCATACATAGTATATCCGCAGAAATCATTCGTTGCCGGTATAGCCGTATATAGACTTGAGTTCACTTGTATTTCGAGCTAGTCGAAGGGGCAGTAAGAATAGGTACTTTCCGGGCTCTAACGCCATATCAATTGCCGTTCAACGTCTTGTGTTAAACTGTTGATCACCGTCCAAAATCTTGAATTCAAGCTGCGTTTCGGCAAGGACAGAGTTATTAGAAGCAACGACGACCGACGATCTCAATCTGAGCTATATCAGCTTCTCTCGGTACCTCGGTGCATCAATTTCATTCGGAATTAGAGAAATCGGCGAGTATCGCGGTAACAGACTGTGACTTTTCGAATGCCGGCCCAATTCTTAATTCGCACGAAGACTAGTCGTTGTCTACTGGAGTATTATGGCTCTGATCGCCCTTGGCTGAAGGCCACGAGGAACCCCACGCCTCATTGCATCATCGTAGATCTGGAGGCGGGGCAATATGTACTCATCCCACGAGGTAAAACGGTGATCTATGATTCTAGATGCGACTACCAGTCCACCGTAGCTATGTCTACAGGTGTGTGTCGGTGATCCTCTACTGATCGAAAGACTATATTCAGTGTCGTGTATTGACTATTCGTGATATTCCATTCTCAAATCAATCTAACAAATATAAATCCCGAAATTTGTATTACCATAGATTACCAACGTAAATCGTCAATTTAACCGGGTATCACCAATCATAATCATACTGCAACAACATCATCAACGCATTGCCATACTCGCAATGACAACCGAGCTCATATGGCTGCCCGTGGCCGTGTACTGTACAAAGCCTTCTTCGCCCATCCGCCGCGGTTCGAGCGCCGTACTGCGTTCGTACAAGTCGTTGACCTCTTCCGTACTCTGTAGACCATTCACGAGGTAGTCTTGTAGCTCGGGAACCGGTTGGAAGACGTATGGTGTGTTCTGGAATTGCTGGATGTCCTGAAGGACTTCGCCGACTTTCAACCGTTTGCTGAAGTTGATCATGCCGTTGGGGGCATGATTCGGAATGCCGTCTTCGATGAAGACCAGGTCGGTCAAGTAGATTCCTATTCCCGTTAGTTGTGCGCCATGTGATTATATAGAAAGAAACTTACCAAGGAATGGAACGCACGGGGGATGTGTGCAGCGCAAATTCTCCCGATATTTGCCAAAATTCTTCGTACTGGACATGAGCTCTCGCATCTCCTCCAGCGTATTCATCACCTTCGGACTGAGCTGCGGCCAGGTCATGTAAAGTCGGTATATAGGGGTCGTTCCGAGGCCGGAAATAATGGACATCATCGTAGCATAGTTGTTAAGGGAGCGGCATTTCTATAGGAGTCAGCGTCACTCAAAAACATCAAATTGGAGACTCGTACATCGGCAACAGTGATAAAATGCTTGATGAGCATAACTCGCTTTTTGATCTCCGTCTGCGCCAGAATGACCGCACCCACCCAGTTTGACAACTGATTGGAATGCAGGATCATAGCGTTCACATTGGTCCCCTTCTCATTCGGCCCCTTCCTCTGCCAGGAGTTGTTCAGACACTCGAGCGGTTTAATGCGCGCATAATACCGGTACTCAAGGATGGTCAACTGCCGGGCGAACTCCGTAGGGTCGATATCCAACAACTTGATCTTGCGCAGATTCTTGGGCACAATGGGCGGCGGCGCACTGGCAATCGGCGGCGGCACAAGATGCTTCGTACTTTTGTCCTGTAAGCGCTGCTCCATGACCACCAGCAACTGCTGAGCTCCGGGAATCTCCGTGATCGCAGGGGAGGTCTGGACCAGATGATGCGCCTGACGAGCAAACTTTACGGAATCCTCGCCCGGCTGTTCGAGCCAGAAGCGACCAAACCAGTTCTTGAGGATATTCACCACACGGAGCTGGATCATCTTCTGCTTCTGCTGAATCCACACCTCTGTCTCGGACTCGGACAGGCCCTCCGGTGGGAGGGTGTAAAATCGCACGAGGAGCTTCTCGAAGAGCTCAGGGGCGGACACGAAAGACGGATAGGTCATGAGAAAGGAGTCGTTGAATACGGCGTCGAGCTTGTCGTGTCGGGTTAGGTGTTCGATCAGGCCGGTCAGCGTGCCTTGTCTGACCGTCAAGATGGCAGGATCGTAGACGACTTCATCGGCATGGTCCAACTGGAGGTACCAGGGAGTGTCTGCATTGATTGAGCCCTTCCTCGCATGTTCGGAGGGCAGGTCTTGCCCGGAATATCGTTTTGTTTCCATTGTGACCGTGATCGTGGAACTCATTGTAGTGTTTGAGAGGGGAAATGCTGCTAAAGCTCGCGGCAGCTATCACCAACCAGACTTGAGGAACTTCTTCATTGTTGCTTGTCTTGAGAGAAATGGGTAGAGAGTATGGCAGTAGCAAAAGAAGAGGGGAAACAGCCACAAAATAGAAAAGTAGAGCTCGACTGGTCACTCCCCCGCTTTCCCAATGCAGGTTAGCGTTCCGACATCGCTTTATCAATCTTATCTGGGTGGACCTCTACGTGTCCCAGGTCCACTTGGGCCTTGCCCTTGCCGAATCGGGAACCCTCGTCCACTTGCCTCTTTGCAGTCGACGAGTACCCTGCCTGGAGGGACGTAGCACTGCACCTACACAGAGCGCATTGGACTGTCTTCCGGTGGGCCGGGCAAGTCCTATGCCAGTCTGTCCTGCACAGCTGCGCGTGAGTCACGAACCATTTTCTCTCGCAGGCCAATAAATGCATTGTTCACAACCCAGAATTCCAGTTCCCGAACCCTGGCGGACCCGCTTGACGTCGTAGTCCTCGCCGCTGGGTTCCGAGCGTGGTTCCGAGTGTGGTCCAGACTGCCGGCTGGTACTACATATTGTCCTCACGCCCGTGCCGGCGGAAATGCGCACACCCGACGACGGAGCAGCACATGGTTCTGGGGATTGGTCCTGTACTTCGGGCCATAGGGCAGTTGAGTGGCATGTTCTGGGGAGCTCGCTTAGAGCGCCGTTTTCTCGTGCGTGGTACTGACTCTTCAGCCGACTTTGTCGGCCATTGTTACTCTTAATGGCTCATTCCCGAGATGGGGATGCCTGTCAACTGCGCTTAACGTGGCTAGCTGTCCGATGGTCGAGAAATGCCTAGCATTTCGACGGATGATTGGCTTATACAGTAGTCTGACTTTTCTGGGCGAGAAAAGAAAAATTCGCGCTGAGGGATTTCCGATAGCTTCAATAGCGCACAATGCACGATGCAGAAATACGAATTTCCAGTGTAGATCACTCGACACGTAAGGTTACTCTGTGCTGCAGAATAGAATAGAAAGGAAACGAATAAGAAATTAGAAGAGAGAGAAAAAAAAGAATAGAGAGAATAGACAAAAGAAATTTTATTACACTAACTATGAATATCAAATATCCACCATAACAAAAGGGTATCACTCGTGGCTCGTACTATGTACTGTACTAGTAAAGGAAATAACAAAAATGAAAGAAAATCTACATAACCTGTCCCTTGTTTTGCTGCTGCTTGTCAACCCGGTAATCCCTCCATATGGCAACCGCCGGAATCCCCAGCGACATCACGGCGACAGCCGTGATGCAGCCGTACTTCATGTACTCGCCCCAGGCATGGTCAATGGCAGTCCGCTCCAGCGTTCCGACGTTGTACTCCACCTGCTTGACGTAGCCTCCGTTGTAAATCGTCTGGAATTGCGACTTGGTGTCGGCCGGGAGCGCCTGGTGCAGCGCCTCGGGGAAGACGTTCGAGTAGATTGAAGCGGAAACAGCCGATCCGATAGCACCACCAAGACTGGAGAACAGGCCAACCAGCGAAAGCATCATGGGCACACCCTCCCGGTCGGCTGCGGCCATAACCGCCATATCCTGGCCGATGACCAGAGTTCCGCCAGCAAAAGCAATAAAGATTTGACACATGACCATGTATCCGAGGCCATGGCCGGGCTCGCGGAAGTGGATCATGAGACCCGATCCGAGGAGGATGAGAGGTAGTCCGAATCCCAGACAAGTGTACTTGAACTGCTTGGTGACATAGACGATGACACCGAAGATGGCGGACCACAGACACGAGCCGACGTTGTAGATTTGACCGATATAACCAGCCGCACTGACCGGGACGTCATAGACGACCATGCAGAAGTTATAGAAGTAGAGATCCCAGCAGTAGTAGCTGAAGAAGAGAATAGCCGACAGGGAGCAGGCACCCAGAACCGTCCGGTCCTTGAACAGACTGTACTGGATGAAGTGCGTCCGGGCGCAGTATTTCTCCCACAAGGCAAACACGAAGAACAGACAGAACCCGACGACGATGGGGGCGATAAACGAAGCGCTCTTGTATTCGGTACGACCGTAGGATTGGAGGCTGAACGGGAGGAGAAGGAGAATGAAGGCGGCCATAATGATCAACGCACCGACCACTAGAGCAGTTAGCAACTATTAAGAGCACAGAGACAGAATTTGACTTACCATCAAACTCGTTGACATAGTGCACCACCGATTCCCACTTGGTGCGTCCATTCGGCTCCCGGACAAACAAGCACATCTTCTCAGCCTTGCGCTGGTAGAACTTGAACACGAGGGCCAAGGGAACGAACACAAAAGGCGTGATGATAGCGAAGACGCCATACGCCCATCGCCACGAAGCGTTATTCAGGAAGGACTGCGCTGCGATTGGGCCGGTGAACGCGGTGACGATGAACGGAGTACTGGCGAAACCGAATGCAAAGGCACGGTTGCGCATACCGGAAGTATCCGCGACGAAGACATCGAGAACCAGGTAGATGGCGTCGTATCCGACCCAGTAGAGCACGTAGCCTGCTGCGTAGGAATTGGCGTTGTTGCAGGTGGCGAGGATAATCAATCCGATCATGTATACTCCGACGAAGAAGAGGAAGCCTTCCGTGCGGCCCCAGATGTTCAGCAGGCGGGCGATGGGGAGCTTGAGGACGCCTCCGACGACGCTGGAGAGGATGTTGGCCGTGCTCACCTGGGGAGCGGCTTCGAAGTTGGCATAGGCGTTTTGAATGACGTTGGTGCTGATCGAGGACTGCAATGCGAGGATGAAGAAGGAAACCCAGATCCTGTGCTGTTAGCCTAAATTCGCCGGAAGGTAATTTGGTAGACCTACAAAGCAAATGTCCCATAAGCCGACTTCTTACTCCAGGCCAATGCAGCAGCCTCGGCCTTCTGCACACCAATGTACGCTCCTTGAGTGGTTCGATGCGAGTTTCGTTGCGGCTTCTTTTCGGTTACGGTTTCGACGCTGGCCTGCTGTTCGATCTGGTGGCCATCTTTGCCGTCGCTTCTATCAGTCGATTCATTGGCTTCGCTGTTGAGTGCATGCAAATCCGATCCGGTAATATCCTGTATCACGCGAATGTCTTTCCGGCCTCTGGTGAGATTGATAACGCCCATGTTGGCGGATGCGGACAGGAAGACGTATGTAGGTGCTCAAACAGTAGTATATGCTTGCAATCAGATTTGAGACAGCAGAAGAGGAAGTACAGCACATGAGGGGACCCATGTACTATATACGGACCGAACACATCCACGGGGTGTTTCAGCTTCGGCTGCTACAGAGTGGGCAAACATCGGACTAGCACGCATCCTAATCTTATTTGGTCGAGGTACTGCCCTCCGGCAAGTCAAATTGAGGCCTTCTAGTGGCTGGGCGAAATGAAATGCACGTACCTGCACAGCGAAAAAGCAACGACACCGAGGCCTTGCCCATTTTTCGCTACAAGGCGCGCTTGGCGAGAACCAATCAGATAAAAAAAGAGTTCGGATCAGATAACATCTCAGTGGGGATGTCTCCATCGACATTTGTGGTGGCTTGACTAAGGATTTGCTAGTTGTATTCCTTATTGGTTCTTAGGGTTAGTATGCCCCACGCCGAGTTGAATCCCACGCGAGCCTTCCGTGCGTGTCCGTCCACAATAATACTTCGTCTACGGGGTATCCTAATAAGTGTAGAATAGCTAGCACGGAGTATTTGGCAATGCTACGTATTTCGTAGAAGTGGGACAGCTCGGTAAACTGACAGGCGCGTTCGTCCCTCCCAGAATACGTACCCGGGATTACTGGTATAAAGAGACTCCGACTCAGTGACATGGCCGATCACCGATATCGCTCCTTCTCAGACTGTCAGCGGATCAGATAACTTAAATCCTTTACCGCTTGTCATTTCCTGTATGTGCAACCTACTTGTACGCAATGCTATCCGTATTGAGTACGGCGCAAACTGCGCATAGCCATAATCGCTCGATCTACAAGGCTGGCATGTGAAGCTTTGGATCAGCTGGAAATCTCTTAGCATCCGTCTTAGCATTCTCTACCATAAGGAGGGTGGCAATTCATGTTGATTGCTGTCAATATGAAACACCCCCTCCCCAGATAGTACTCGTGCTTGGCCCGTGAATCGATCGTGGCGCACTTGCATGTCAGATCATGTTTGAATCAGAGCTTTTTTTCTCGCTATCAGATCTATCAGATCGGGATATATCATGCCAGAGCTATTCTGCTATCCGGTGTCTCCGTATCCCCTACTCCTGACTTGTATTGACAGCCGTTGACACATCGCATAATATCGGTGTGTCCGTATATATATTAGCTATCCACTACTCCGTATAGCACTCCGTACTCGTCCTCATCACTAGCAGACTTCTATCTCAACCTCTCAATGGCCACCCTCATCGCGACCCATATCCTCCCTCCACAATGCACATCATCCGGACACGGCGACGTATAGAATACGCCGTCAAAAATTCCAATTCCGCCACGTTGCGCCGACATCATGATGTGCGGTAGACACATCCGACCTGCTGTCAAGGAGACGATGGCCGGTGTACCGGGACCCGTCATCGCTTAAGTCCGCTCGCAGTTTTGCTTCGAGTTTGGAATAGCCGGTGATGGGGGGCAGTCGCTTGACAGGTCGATCAGTCCGAGGTCGCATTCGGAGAATACGGTGGGACGGAAGTTCAGCATCGGGTAGAGGGATATAGCCGAGATGCTCTGGATATGGAGTACAGAGTACGCCACTACTTGGATATCGTACTACTATTCAGTACGACTCCTCGGTGATCGAATACTGGCTATGGACGCAAATCAACTCATCGATATCATTATATTATATTTCCATATTTCATACACATCTCCGCCACCATATGTTACATAGTACTCCGTACATGCACAGCACAGGAGTTCCATCAAACCATCTAAGCACACACACACGGGCCAGAGAATCGGTTGGCCGTTGTCAAAGGCAATATTGCATTTGTCCGAGCCGCAGTCCCGATCTTCCAAGCAAGTGAGCCCACTCGCTGTGCACTCGCCCCTGTCCCTACAATACTTCTTCTCCCCGTTGAGTCCGCACCGTTTTGAATCACAATCACTGTCGGACTCACACTTGGCCCCATAGTGTCCTGGTCCCGGCTCATAGGAACATATCTTTTCGTTCTTAGGTTCATGAAGCCGTCCGTTGGACTTGGAAATATTCACTCAGGGCTAAACGGAACTGTGACCAACGAGGTGTTCAATCAATCTCACCGACAGCCAGCTGTCTTCCAGCCGGGTGGATCATGATGGACAGTAATTGAATTGTACCCGAACTAGCGGGCCGCTATCACCAGCTAATGCGAACTACCAGCGCGATCGGGTTTCTTCAGCCAGCCCAATCTGGGGAAGATACTGAAGAACAGAGTCACGGTGTGGTAGGGAGTAATGTTTTCGCCGAATATGCGTCAGCATGGACATCTGAAGGCTACCAAGATGAGTATCCGACAGTATGGGCCAGCGGGTGAGTCCAAGGTATGGGTACGGAGGTGATTGAGTGTACGGTCGCCGCCTTCTTGTCGCTTTCAGGACTGATCCGCGGCGAATATAGAGTCCCTTCCGTCCTCTATACAGCCGTAGAGATCCAATGCCGTACAGTATTCACTTAGACTAACAGTCAATTAACACAAAGTCAATCAGGTAAGACTCATCAAGGGCATACAGTGCATCATAGTACAAGACGTATCTAGACGTATTCCACCACCAATCTACTGACACTGGGGCGCAGGGAATGGTGTGCCAGGTGGAAAGACAAACTCAATCGGAATGATGTAAAGACATGTCGAGCAATGACATATGCTGACATGCTAATTATTCCCCTCATTTGTCCTATCCTGCAACTGAAACGGCTCTGCAATGTACGGAAAACTGTCCCACAGCGGCAACTCCATCCCCTCCCAGCCCGAAAATGCATCGTCGATATCAGCCGGCATCGTCAAAGACCGATCGGCATGTTCGTCTGACTGTGGAGCAGTACTCTGCGATGCCAGTGGAGAGACACCGGACGATTCCATCTCCTGGGGCTCGGGGGAGCGGCGTCGTCCGTGCAGACTAAAGAGCTTGCTTACGTATCGACTTCGACTATATCGGCTCTGTGAGGCTAGGCGTTGACGTTGCTCGGTTATTGCTGTTGATAGAAACGTGACGATCTCGAGGTAATGAGCCGCCTGTGCGGACTGTTGTGAGAGCATGCGGAGGATGTCGAGCGCACCGTTGAACGCGGAGTCTAGGGCGGAATCTACTTCCTTCTGCGAGAACATGGAAAATCCGATAACCAATGCCGCGGCGAAGATGAAAGCCCTGCATCATTAACTTGAGTTCCTTACTGAGGCGATTCGACTCACTTCAGTATGCACATGTTGTTCAAAAGTAACTGCGACTGGTGTATTTCCAAGCACGTCTGGATCATGTAGACGGCCGAATCCACGCAAGCTACGGATAACTTGGAGTGAGCCGGGTCTTCCTCCGGTCTCACTTGATCAGACGCTGACAAGTCCTGGTGCACTCGTGCTAGTCGAACACCAAGAACAGACACCAGAAACGGCCGCGTGACGACAATGACCGCGAAGTGGTAAAAGCATGCAACATGCAAACTGCTTATGATCTGCTTCTGAGCAACAGCACGGTCCTGCTCATCGCTTGGTGATGCTAGTAATGACTCTGGCAGCTGGTCGCTCCACCGAGTCAACTTGGCTAACAGCGACTCTGCTACGTCTGCAGATGCGGCCCTTTCGCTATACAGTTGTCTGGTGATCTCATCCAAGATCAGCGACATGCGATACGAGGCAACGAGACTTGCGTCGATCCGACTGCTAGGCAGGTCGAGATTGGATGGATATTCCCCACGCTCAAGCTGCACAGTAGACGTTGCAGGCGGTCGTCCGAGGATCGAACTGACCAAGAGGTCCAAAACACAAAGGCTCATCCACACTCGTGCTCTACAGATATTAGATACTGCCGATCTTACTGGGTCGAATGGGGCCTACCTCTGTTGCTGCTCATTCGCGGTCATTGAGCTGGACAGACCGGTTTGATGCAGACCCAGGGCCACGGCTGCTCGGGCCGCCACGCCGACATACATGAATGCAGCATTTCTACGACACGCCCCGAGCATGTAAAACGACATGCAAAGGAACAACCGCACTAGCTCGAGACTAGGAGTCTCCAACATGCTCGAGAACGCTCTACGCTGTCCTCGAGCGAAAAAGAAGCGTTCTGCTTGGACAGTTGTCGGATCGCCTTTGCATGATTGCGCACCAATGGCGATCATGACGTCTCTGAAGGCCCAACGGGTATTCTCCCGCTCTTTGTCGGCCTCCAAGGACTCCGCCAAGATCTGCAGGGCCTCCGATTCGGAGATGACGTAGAGGAAGCCACTTGTCTAGGTCTGTCAGAGTCCATGTTTCAAGTAACTGGGGCAGAATGGGGCAGAGCTAACCGCTGTAAGATAAGCACGGATAAAGGCTTCTTTCCGAGCCACGTCGAGACGATCATCGACAGCTGGTGGAATATGATGCAGGGACTCCGTTTCGAGCATGTCCTCGCTCTTGACATTGTGCGAGAATTGGGAGGGTCCAATATGCTGCGTGACGGTATCGCGGAGCAGCTGCAGGAATGACAACGACGCCGCCTTGCCCACGTAGACTTCAATTATCAGCCGGCGATCACACTTTGATTCGACCTGCATGTTCCAACATACCTCGTTCTCCCTGACGGTTCCACAGCATCCGGGGATGAGTTCTATGCTGAGCACCCGCTGAGGGAGGATCCAGTCCGTGCGACTGGGAGCTCTGAATCGAAGCAGGGGACTGAGCCCCAATGTCCGGATTGGCCGTACTCGGCCCCGTTGTCGTCACCGTCGTGGGATACGGTTGGTATCGAATCTGGGGAGCGGAAGCATCGCGCGGGCACGGGACGCAGGTGTCAGCTTGTCCGCGATGGACACAATTCGGACAGGGAAAGGTCCCTGAACATCGTCTCTTGGAGGTCCGACAGGCGAGGCAGGCCGCGTAGGCGCGGAGACGATGAGCGGGCGAGACCCTTGGACGTGGCATGGCAGCGATGCGGATGGCAATCGACGCGTGTTGCGGCCATTCATATCTTATCCATCTTATCTGGGGGTGAAACAATAGCGTGCTGTCGATCGAGTTCGTTCGGACATCTGTGCTGGGGGCATCCCACGCTGCATGCGAGGTTAGCGCGATCCTTCGTGGTAGCAGTGCTATTATTGTAAGACTAGGTCAGCGTTCCTTCGTGTAATTGAGTACAGAGTACAGGGTAGACCGTACACCGTGTACCGTATTAACTGGAAGAGGTTGGTGCTTATCCTTAGTATTCCTCGGTAGTTAGACCAACGCGTCGACCTCCGGCTGTCAGTCCGGCGGGGAATGTTACTCCGCGACGGAGTATCTCCTCGTAAACGGTTAGACCGCTGTAAAGTCACGTGAAACCGGAAAATCCACTTCTCTGAGTTTCTCCGACCCGATGGAGCCGCGCAGAGTTTTCTGCCGGTGGGTCTGAAGGGTTTTCCACCGCCATGACTCTCATTGGCCCGCTAGCGAGTCAAACACGACAAACTCGGCAATGCTCGCTTGTGGTTAGCGCGGCGCTAGGCTCTGGGAAATCGTATAAAAAGGGCTCTCCCCTCGACCCTTGAGAAAACTAAGCGACTCTACGTTAGTGATCCCCTCCCCTACCTTGGCTTCTAGCCTTGGGAAAAGAGAATCCCTGCTAACAACCTCACAGTTCAAAGAATCACTTTAGAGTAGACGTCCCACCTCTGAGCTCTTCTAAAGAGCCACAGAATCTCCACCCTTGCTGATGACTGCTATGTCCTCGATGCCCTAAAGTGAAGCCGTGTACTTCCGCCTCGACCGTGCATTACGCCGGCTTTGACACATCTTGTTCTTCGGAGTGAGCTTGGGTCGGGCTGTTTGTGGTTTTGTCTTTGGTCCAGGGAGTGGTGATGATCTTTACCTTGTCTCGATGTCTTGACTTCGGTCGGTCGGTCTTGGTGGGCGTCGAGGAGGTCTGAAAGGTTTTCTTCATTTACTGAGCTTGCTGAGCATACGCGATGCAAGTTCAGCAAGTAAAGAATAGGTTATTCTTATATAGTTTAATGCATTCTGTCTTCGAACACTTTTTCTTGTAAATCGTAATTATCTGTTCTGGCCGGTGATGAAACCTTGATAGAAGCTTGCTGTTGAAAATTTTTGTCCTCACGTGATCGCGTGGCATCGCAACTTGACACCATCCAGGCTACGTCTCACAGATACGGAGTAGCTGTCGATCGATACCATAAGTTCATAAATGCTAGTCTACGCCTTCTCCTTCTCTGGCTTGTTCCCTCCCCTATTCCGTCCTCGTCCTCCCCGACCTCGAGATGATCCCCCACCGCTTCCTTCAGGTTTTCCCCCACGCGCGCTACCGTTATTATTGCCGTTGCCGCTGGTAGCGGCCGCTTGCTCTCCACCAGCTGCTGCTCCTGCTCCTGCTCCTCCTCCTCCACGCCCTTTGCGCGGCTTGTCGCCTCCGGGGTTCGTCTTCCGCTCCAACACCACCACCTGACTCTGCGCCACCGTCACCGGACTAGCTGCAATAGCCTTTTGCAAGCTAGTCGGCTCGGCAAAGTCCACATATCCGAATCCTTTCTTCTTATCAATCTCGACCGACACGACCTTGCCAAATGGTGAAAACGCCGTTTCCAATAGCGGTTCCGTAACTCCTTGCGATGGGTTGGCGTGTTTGAGAAAGGCTTGCGTAGAAGTAGCGCTGGGACTGGCAGTGGCCTGTTTTCCTTTCGACGGTTTGGTCGATTTGGTCGCTGCAGGCGCACTAGGCGGAGGTGTGGCCTGGGGTTGAGGGGTGGACGGTTCGCTGGGTTGAGGTGTAGTCTCGCTGGCTTTGCCCTTGGGCTGCTTAGGAGGTTTCGCTTCCTTCTTGCTGGGCTCTGTTGGAGTGTTGGGGACGTTTTCCTTCTTCGCATCGGCCTCAGAACCCTTTCCACCCTTCCGACGACCACCCGACGAGGACAGTCCCAAGTCTCGTTGAAGAATCTTGGCCGCGGCAGCAGCGTTCCCACGTTCTCTCTTCCGCTCCGAAGCTGGGGCCGTAGGTGCCTCTTTGGCAGTTGGTGTTGCTCTTCCAGACTGTTTGGCTGTAACGTTGGCAGCTTTGTTGGCCGCCTTGACAGCTTCCTTGGTCGCCTTGTCAGATTTCGACTTCTTCTCCGTTTTCTCCGTAGATGGCGCTGCAGCCTCACGATCCGGACGCTGTAGAAGTTTCTTCGCCTGTACCTTCTCCGGTTTGGCCTCCTTCTCGGACTTTCTGGACGACTTTGAAGAAGTCTGCTCCTTGGCCTTGTTCGCCTTCTTGTCCTTGATGTATTGCACCAACGGCGTCGTAGTCATTGTCTCCTTCTTCTCCTCCGACTCGGTCGACTCCACAGACGGTTTCGTAATCGGCTGCGTCAGGCTCTCGAGGAACGCGAAGAAGTCGGGATCCTGATCGATAGTTCCTTGACGGGCATCTTTTCGCACACGATTACCGGGTATTTTGGCATATGGCGCAAATTCCACCGACGGAGGGCCCAAGAGAATCGGATCGTTGGCGGTATTCTGGGCATCTAGGAACGACGTCTGACGGACCTTGTCGGCAAGAGGCGCGATGTGATCACTCGAAACGACGTGGATGTAGGCGCGCGACGGTCGAGAGGGTTTTGCAGGGCTGTCTTTATTAGTCCCCGTAGTTATACGTAGTTATATAAACCTGCGACTCACTCCTTGGACACCTTTCCAGGTCTGTACTGAAACCAATCGACCTTGCCAGCGCCAGCACTCCACTCCTCCCCCACTGCATGTCTGAACTCCTCCTTCGTCAAGCCCGGGGGCAGTCGTCTCACTAGCAGTTTCAGACGAGGAGCAGGAGGCTTCGGGGCCTTTTTCGCGGGCGCGTTCTTCTGAGTGGCCGTGGCGGGGATTTGGAGGACGCCTCCGGTGGGTTTAGCAATTTGCGTCATGCTGCCAGAGAAAAATCGTAGAGCTGCTGCTGTGCTTGTAAAAAGAACAAGAGCGAAGTGGAGGAGTGCAAGATAGCGGAGGCAAACTACGGCATCGCAGGGCCGCCAAGCACGCGAGCCTCGACCTCAACCTCCGCCCGCGGGGAATGTCCACTCCTATATTCACATTTGTATAGATTCCTTTCTTTTTGATACTTGTCTACTGCTGTGGTCGCATTCGCTCCTTGGTCCTTTACTCGTGTCAATCTCCCGATCCGCTATCTCAACCCGCAACATGGCAGACAGTGTCCCCCAGCCGGGACCAGCCAAATTGAAGCCAAATGCCGGTCCAGATGAATGGCTGGAGGCAGCGAAGAACTGCAAGTATCTCTCAGAGACGCACATGAAGCAGCTGTGCGAGATTGTCAAGGAGTTCATGATGGAGGGTGAGTTTGTCGGGAGAATCTCATAAGTCCTGGGTTAACTATGGTAGAATCCAACATCCAACCCGTTTCCACGCCCGTCACCATCTGCGGAGATATTCACGGCCAGTTCTACGATGTCCTCGAGCTCTTCCGGGTCGCAGGGGGAATGCCTGACGAGTACGATGCCGACCCACCCAAGACCTCTCCTTCCGTGATTACTTCAGACGATATCGAGCCACCTTCGTCGATTTCAGACCCGAAACTGAGAAAGAAGTTGAGGAACGCAAAGTCAGCAAATAATGAGGAGGACACGGGTTCCAGGAGTCGGTCCGGGAGTGAGGGGTCGGGGGAGATTCGGTTGAAGAATAATTTCGTGTTTCTGGGGGACTACGTTGATCGGGGATATTTCAGTTTGGAGACGTTGACGCTGCTCTTGTGTTTGAAGGCGAAGTGAGTTGCTTTCGCTCCCAGACCGGGACAGGAGTGCTAACTTGCCAGATTCCCAGACCGAGTGACGCTGGTCCGCGGCAACCACGAGTCCCGCCAGATTACACAGGTATACGGTTTCTATGAGGAGTGCTTCCAGAAATATGGAAATGCTTCTGTATGGAAGGCCTGCTGTCAGGTATTCGATTTCATGACGCTGGGGGCCATCATTGACGGAAGAGTGCTGTGTGTTCATGGGGGTCTGAGCCCGGAGATCAGGACGTTGGACCAGGTGCGCGTGGTGGCACGAGCGCAGGAGATTCCCCACGAGGGTGCTTTTTGCGACCTGGTCTGGTCGGATCCGGATGAAGTGCAGACCTGGGCCGTCAGTCCTAGAGGAGCTGGTATGTTCGACATCGCAGATTCTCCCTTGATAAATTGTACTAACGTCGCAGGCTGGCTATTCGGAGACAAAGTGGCAGACGAATTCTGCCATGTCAACGACCTAACCCTGATCGCACGCGCACACCAACTGGTCAACGAAGGCTACAAATACCACTTCCAGAACCAAAACGTGGTGACCGTGTGGAGTGCCCCAAACTACTGCTACCGCTGCGGCAATCTCGCCTCCGTCTGCGAAATAGGCGAAGACCTCAAACCAACCTTCAAGCTGTTCAGCGCAGTCAGCGACGACCAACGACATGTTCCGACATCACGGCCAGGGCGGAGCGAGTACTTTTTGTAAAATACCAGCATATGTGTTTATGTCTTTCACCTTTTCATGTCTTTGGACCTGATCATGAGCGAGCCTTGTCTTACCGGCGCGGGCGTTGGGAAGGAAGTCGGGGGCTTCTGGTCGGAATATATAACGATCTAGATCATAATGATGTTTTACGATGCTTTAGTATGGTCAGTTGAATACCCAAGTCCAGCACTTGTCCGGTCTGTGTAGTGGTGATAGATATATCACTGGTCCAACATATAGAACAGCTTCACTCAGCCAATGTCGTCCAGTTTCTTCCGAGATGTCTTCGCGTATCCACATATTCACTATCAGCAGGCATTCTGATATTCAATTCCGGATCGGCAGTGAATTGACATGCCTTCCCCGGATGATGCTGTTTTCCGAGGGAAGTGATCCCGATCTACCCCCGCGCTAAATGGCAGCTACAAACAAAACAAAACATTCGCTTGAAGATGCCATATTCTGTATCATCGGCTCCTTCATTGTCATCTCAATACCGAACTCAGATAGCCGAGCGCCCAGCTGCTCGGCAGCGACTCAGCGTTCACTTACCGTGGTCTCCGACCCGAATTGCCCAACCGAGACCAGCAGGAGAATCAAGATGCGACGCATAGGATAACATTTAAGATCCTCGCATCCGTCATGTCGCCCCCCTGTCAACTTCGAAAAAAAAAAAAAAAAAACAAACAAACAAACAACATGACCAAAGTCGACGTCCTCATCTGCGGTAGCGGTTCCGCCGGCCTCTGCGCCGCGACATGGCTCTCCCGGTATGGCCTCACGTGCAAGATACTAGAACGTCGCGATGGCCCCATGAAACTCGGCCAGGCGGACGGTGTCCAGTGCCGGACTGTCGAGATCTTCGAGAGTTTCGGGATCGGGGAGGAACTGCTGCGCGAGTCGTACCATGTGCTCGAGGTCGTGTTTTGGGCGGACACGGAGGGTTCGAGTAGTATTCGACGGACGGGCAGGACGGCTGATACGCAGCCCGGGTTGTCGCATCAGCCTCATGTTATTCTGAACCAGGCGCGGATTAACATGTTGCTGATTGAGTTGATGCAGAAGTGGAACGGGCAGGAGATTGACTACGGGTATAATGTCCAGGATGTCCAGGTGGATAGTGCACTGACTGCTGATCCGGATGCGTATCCGGTCAATGTTACTGCGGAGAAGGATGGGAAGACAGTGAAGTTTGAGGCGAAATATGTTATGGTATGCTTCGTTGCAAGTACTGTTGGACATGGGATGCTAACTGACTGACAGGCCTGCGACGGTGCACACAGCATCGTCCGCAAAGCACTCGGATACACCATGATCGGTGACAGCAGCGACGCCGTCTGGGGTGTAATGGACATGGTCCCTCGAACCGACTTCCCTGACATCCGCAAGAAAGCCACTATCCGAACCAACGCTGGCAACCTGTTGATCATCCCCCGCGAAGGAGAGAGTAACAACCTGACCCGCTTCTACATCGAACTTCCTGCCGGGACCAATGCCAAGGAAGTCAAGCTGGAGGACCTGCAAAAGACAGCGCAGAACATCCTCAATCCGTACAAGGTCGAATTCGCCGAGACGGTGTGGTGGTCGGCGTATGCCATTGGCCAGCGCCACGCGGACAACTTCCAAAAGGACCAGCGCGTTTTCCTTGCCGGTGATGCATGCCACACGCACTCGCCCAAGGCCGGCCAGGGCATGAACGTCAGTCTGCAAGATGGCTACAACATGGGCTGGAAACTGGCCTCTGTGTTGACAGGACTGGCCAAGCCATCTCTGCTGGAGACCTACGTGCTGGAAAGACAAAAGGTAGCTATCGATTTGATCAACTTCGACCGGTACTTCTCCAAGCTTTTCTCGTCCGGACCAGGGACTTCGCCGGCTGAGTTCCAAGAGGGCTTTGTCCAGTCTGGAAAGTACACGGCTGGACTTACGGCGAAATATGATCAGTCGCCTATTACCTCTGCTGTTGATGAGTCGGGGCGGTTGGCTTCGAATGTTACTGTTGGAATGAGACTGCCTAGCGCTCAGGTTGTTCGGTACTGTGACTCGCAGCCAATGCAGCTGGCCAAGTCTTTGAAGTCAGATGGTCGCTGGCGAGTCATGGCTTTTACTGGTGATCTTACAGTTTCAAAGAACCAGAAACGGTTGAATGCGGTATGTCCCTCTTCCCTGTCTCGCGATTCACGCTAACAAGAACAGCTGGGAGACTACCTCAGCTCCAACGAAGGACCCGTCAAGACCTTCACGCCCTCTGGCTCTGACGCCGACAGCATCATCGAAACAATCCTCGTCGGCCACGGCAAGCGCCATGCCATCGAACTGGAACAGATCTCTGAGTGTTTCTACCCCTCGACCGGCAAGAACCAAGTCAAAGACTTACACAAAATCTTCTTCGACGACGAAAGCTACAACCAAGGCCACGGACACGCCTATGAATTCCTGGGCATTAGTCCTGACGAGGGAGCTCTCATCATTGTTCGTCCGGATCAATGTAGGTTTCTTCCACCCCAAGTGCAATGAATAATGCTGACGATAGCAGATGTATCCGCGGTCATGGGTCTGGATGATTATGAGGAGATTGGAAAGTTCTTTGGAGGATTCATGCTTCCGCAGGAGAAGGATTTGCCTGGGAGTAAGTTGTAGAGGGCTTTAGAGCACCGTATATAGTAGGTATCACATGACATACTTAGCGAGATTGTTTTTTCTTGATATCCGATTTGCTGCAGTATCATAATACAACCATCCTTACAGACAAAGCCACTATTATTAGCATCGCTGTTCATCGTAAGTGTCCTACAGACCGATTTGGCTGTATATTAATGACTAGCAGCATACCCCTCGCATTTGATAACATCACCAGATTAAGCCAGGCGTCATCTCAAAATACCTGGCAACATGATATCCTTCACATTCGCACCTCATTTAGCCCCCTTCAATACCGACCTTCCCACCTTCTCCGCCACCAAGCCCGGCTTCACCGACTTCGGCGTCGGCGGCTTCATCTTCTCCATCCTGCCTCGCCATGAAACAACCAATACAAAGACACCAGAAGCAAAAGTCCTCCTCTTGCAACGCTGCCTCTCAGACTCCTTTGGCGGATACTGGGAGGGACCTGGCGGGGGTCTTGACCCGGCTACTGACAGGACGGTTCTGGAGGGTTCGGCGAGGGAGGTGCTCGAGGAGAGCGGATTGCATATATCGAGGTTTGTGGATCTAGTGGCCGTTGAGGAGTGGGCGAGGATGAAGCTGGATAGGTTGCATGTGGTTGCTAAGTTTACGTTTTTGGTCGAGGTTCATGAGGCTGGTACTAGCACTGGGGATGCTACGGAGGGGATAGGGGAGGTTTCTGGGGAGTCGATTCAGAAGCGATGGGAAGATGGAGTCAAGTTAGCAGAAAGAGAGCATCAGGCTTACGCGTGGGCGACGGAGGACGAAGTACGGGAGGGATTGGAGAAAAGAGGGCCTTATCGGTTTGTGAACCAGATGGGAACGAGTCTTCTTAAGGGGTTCGAGATGGTAAAACACTTGAACAGTAGGTAGACACATATCGTTATGTTATTCAATACAAATTAGTCCTCCACCGGAAGAGCACCCTCGGCCTGAAGCTGAAGAGCAACCTGGTCGATATCCTTCCACACCCGCAACAGATTACCTCCAGCCACCTTGGCAGCATCCTCATCACTGACGCCTCTCTTCAGTAACTCTGCAATCAAGTCGGGGAACTTGGACACATCCTCCAGACCCCGAGGGACTGTCCCAATCCCGTCAAAATCGCTTCCCAGGCCGACATGGTTAAAGCCAATCAACTGTCCAATGTGCAAGATATGGTCAACAACGTGTTCCAACGTAGAATTCTCGGGGTCAAACTCTGGGATTCCGTTGGTAATATTGGTGGCCTTGCAAGAAACGAAATCAGGAGCAAAGTTGACCATAACAAGCGAATTTTGTTGCTTGACCAGTTGCAAGACATCGTCCGGAACGTTGCGCGGGTGTGGACAAACGGCATAGGCAGAGCTATGACTGAAAATAATCGGCGCCCGACTGCCAGTCCAGTCATCCTTGCCAGCACCAAGGACGTCCCTCATTGTGTCTGCACTCACATGAGCCAAGTCGACAATCATCCCGAGACGATTCATCTCGAGCACGAGGTTCTTTCCAGCTTCGCTAACCCCATGCCAATATGGATCAGCCTTCTTGCTGCCCCCGTTCGAGGTCTCCTGCACCGCTGCATCGGCGTAGCGGTTGTGACAGTTATGGGTGAGGGTGGCATATGATACGCCCAGTTTGTAGAAATCACGCAAATGTGCCAGGGAGTTTCCGATCGAGTGAAGACCCTCGATCCCTAGCGGTGAAATAATCTTCCCATCCCGGAAGGCTTGCAGCGCAGTTGTACCGTTGGGCGGACTCGAGAAGACATTGGGATAGGCGTTCTGTATGCGCGACATGACATCGACCTGCTCAAAGGTTTGACGGAGGCCTGACCTGTCAGCGAAGCATAAGATAAGAAGGGCAGTCACCTACTCGTAGCATAATTCTCATCCGACCAGTCCAGTCCATCCTTAGGACACTGCACGAAAACACTCCAGAATGTACCACCCACTTTACCCTTGGACAACCGCGGAAGGTCGACATGTCCGGTCAACGAGCCGTTGGTAAATGGTGAGGTGAAGTTGTCGCCATAGATGCGGTTATTGTAATCCATTCGAACGAGGATAGGAAGGTCATCGTGGCCATCTATCGCGGTTAGCTGACTTCAGCATCTGTTAAAACGCTTGTACCTACCGATCAATGGCGTTTCCGACAAGATCCTGTCCACTCTCTGTTCGATACTCGGAGGCTCTTGCGAGCGCACATTGTTAAAGGTCAACAGACCCGTGAGGAAGAGGATAAACGCGAACCGACCCATTCTGCTGGTTGATGGTGTCGAGATGCGATGCTGCTCACTGACGGCCGGCTCTCGAGAGCCCTCCTCCAAAAGACGGCCTTTCTCGTCGGTCATTTTCTCCTTGGCGTACTTGCGCAATCAACGGTGGTAACGTCTGGTAGGCTAGTGAAACCGCAACAAGGAGGGGAGGCCGGGTTCAGCTCTCGGCTGCATGGCGCTAGCTGTACGGAGTACTTGTAGTGGTGCAATTGCGCCATCAGCCCCCGACACTGACTCTCAGTACAGATTAGTGACCTCTGGTCACATCTGGAAAGCGATTGCTTATCGTCGGTGGCCAGGAAGTCGAAGTACAGCTCAGAGAGTCGTCAGTGTCAACCCCGATTAGGAAGGTATAAGGCGGTATATAGTGCGGGAGGTGTGTATATCCGGCAGAATAATTCCTGCTGACTGATTAGTGCGGGATCCAATCAACGGCGCGTATTGCAAACACAAAAAATTCCACCCTCTTTCGTCTCTATCAGAGTTACCAACACTACTAGTTCTGCTGTTGTATCGAGTCAGGGTAATTCACCAGTCTGGATGCTGAATTCATAAGCAAACAGTTCCTGTTCGACTGTGATGCCTCATCAGGCTTCTTTCAGCCCCTCCTCGATCTAAGCTCCGAGCGCACGAAGTCTTATTGTACTATGGACTGTTCAAGTGCTATGCTAGAAGGTAAGCTGCTCAAACTACACAATGACTGGCACTGGCTAACAGACTCAGGTGTCGTCACCTTCTGGCACGCCTACCGTCTGCCTATCCTCATCACCCTGTCCACTCTGTTCGTCATCGTCCAAGCCTACCGCAAACTTCAACCCAAGTCCAAAACCGAAGCGTCCTCGTCCCTCCCTCCGTCCCCTCGAAGCCATTCCCCTGAGAAGAGCGAGAAGATTCCGGTCAGTGATGGAACAAAGAAGGAGACTCCGGTGGTCAGCAAGTCCACCGGTCCAAAGGTGGTGACTGGTAAAAAGCCAGTCAAAGGTGGAAAACGCGGTGGTTCCGACGAAGCGCCGCCCTTGTCCTTTATCCAGCCGATTGTGTTCTTCGCCTCGTTGACTGGTACGACCGAGAGGTATGCCCACATGTTGGTGGAGGAGCTGCGTGCCGCCGCACAGAACCGAGCCGACCCCGAGAACCGTGAACGAGGTCTTCTTCCCCCTCAGCTGCACGATCTGGCCTACATCGATCTCGACGACTTCTTTACCTCCGCACCCAAGCCGCCGTCGACTTCGCCCGGAACCCGCTACGTGTATTGTCTGTTGATTCCGACCTACAACATTGACACCGTACTCAATACCTTCCTGGGTCACTTGGATGAGACACACCACGATTTCCGTATCGACACTGGATCGCTCTCTCAGCTCGCTGGATTCTCAGTCTTTGGTTTTGGCGACAAGGAAGGATGGCCGACCGAGGAAGAAGGGTACTGCTCGCAAGCCAAGGAACTGGACCGGTGGATGGCCAAACTGACCGGGAAAAGGAGAGCTTTCCCACTGGGACTGGGTGATGTCAAGGACAATGCTGAGCAAGCGCTGAAGGAATGGTCGCACGGACTGCAGGATATTCTGTACGACATCCTGCAGAATGGCGGTCTTGGTGAAGGCGTTCCCGGCAGTGGGGACCCATTGGAAAGCGACGAAGAAGACGTTGACGACGAGGACGAAACCGATGTCGCGAAACCCAAGAGCAAGCGCGGTAAAGGCCAAAGTCAATCGGTTGTGGACCTGGAGGATATCAAGGTGAACCCTGATAGCCCGGCGCCTCTCGCAGTTGATTTCACGACTGGAGGAAAGTCGTCGGAGTCGCAGGCCAAGGAAATGGTGCCAAAGACATCGCCCACATATGCTTCTCTGACGAAACAGGGTTACTCGATTGTTGGCTCGCATTCCGGTGTCAAAATCTGCCGTTGGACCAAGTCTGCTCTGCGTGGTCGGGGTTCGTGCTACAAGTTTTCTTTCTACGGTATCAAATCGCATCTCTGTATGGAGGCTACGCCGTCGCTCTCTTGCAGTAACAAGTGTGTATTCTGCTGGCGCCACGGAACAAACCCGGTCGGAACGACTTGGCGATGGAAGGTCGACGACCCGGACATGATCTTCGACGGTGTCAAGGACGGCCACTACAAGAAAATCAAGATGCTACGCGGAGTGCCCGGTGTACGAGCGGAACGTTTTGCAGAAGCAATGCGAATCCGACACTGCGCGCTGAGTCTGGTCGGCGAACCCATCTTCTACCCTCACATTAACCGATTCCTGGATCTGCTGCACAGCGAACGCATTTCAAGTTTTCTGGTGTGCAACGCGCAGCACCCCGACCAACTGGAGACCCTTCACCGTGTGACTCAGCTGTATGTATCGATCGACGCCAGTAACCGGGAAAGTCTGCGGAAGATTGACCGACCGCTGCACCGTGATTTCTGGGAGCGATTCCAGCGCTGCCTTGACATTCTGCGGGAGAAGCGCAATGTGCAGCGGACCGTTTTCCGTCTTACTCTGGTCAAGGGCTTCAACGTCGAGGATGAGGTGATCGGATACGCCAACCTGGTTGAAAAGGCACTGCCTTGCTTTGTCGAGATCAAGGGTGTGACCTACTGCGGTACCAGCACGAGCGCCGGCGCGGGATTGACCATGCAAAACGTTCCTTTCTACGAAGAAATCACCGAATTCGTCCTCGCCCTGAACGAGGAACTTGAGCGACGAGGACTCAACTATGGTCTCGCGGCGGAACACGCCCACAGCTGCTGTGTGTTGCTGGCATCTGACCGCTTCCATGTGAACGGAAAATGGAACACGCGCATTAACTATGGGCGATTCTTTGAACTTCTCGAGAAGGAGAAAGCGGATGGAACCTCGTTCACCCCGGAGGACTACATGGATGAGACAACAGAATGGGCTCTCTGGGGCAATGGAGGATTCGATCCCAATGACGAACGAGTCTACAGGAAGGGCAAGAAGGCCAAGGCCCAGAAGGAATTGGCAAGCAGTACTGCAAATGAATGAAGCGTGATGAGTTTATGACTAGCTGTCTAAGCTGTATATACGAACAATAAAAGTTTTTAATGCAGCTACCCCCTTTCTCTAAAGAACCACAGCTTCCTTGCCTCCTCTTCCGGCATATCTTTCATCTTCGTCCTAATGAAATGCTCATATAGCATCTGATGCCGATTCTTCGCCTCCTCGAAGTCAACACCAGGCGGTATCCATCCCCCATCATTCGACTTGAGCAGTTCATGCGTAGACTCCCGCAAGGTGAGCCAATCCTGATACTCGGTCCATTGCCTCTCGTGCTGTGTAATTTCGGCCGCGGAAAAGTGATACGGACATTCTTTGGACAGACCCAACTGCTTCCAATACTGGAAGAGTTTAACAAGACAGTCGCGGAGAGGGAGGATACCGTCTCGATACGTATCAGTGCAGAGGGTGAATAGTTTCCGAACTGCGACGTCCGGCTCAGGCAGGTCCAGATACGGCTCCATATGCGACTTGACCAGTGCAGCCTCGTAGCACTTAATCCGCATAGCTTCCTCGTGTCTCCGTTGCGCCTCGCACATGGCGTCCTCCTGTCCAATTCCGTCTTCGGCGTCACAGCCCATAGTTAGAAACAGCGGCCAGCGCACGTTCATAAACCGTGGTAGAATATTAGCATACTGCCAGTCTACAATACCATCTACTCTGGTCGGATCTTGTCGACACACGAAGATATTGCCCGGGTGGAAGTCGGGATGGCACAGGACTGGCCCGCCGTGTCGCTTCAAGGCTGGTAGTTCGGTGAGAATAGGCATGATCTTTTTTGCTCTGTGAAGAGTGCCGATGTGTTCTTCCGGTGTACCAAAGTGGGGCCCACGCCCGGCGTAGGAGGACTTGTAGTGTTCGATTTGGAAGATGCCTTGGTTGACGAAATCGTGGGCAAGCGCGGTTAATGATTTCCCTGCGTCGTTAGCCAAAGCAAATATACAAGGCTGGGCGTGATACATGGGCCTGAAAATTGAGCATACTGCTCCGGATCTGCAGCAAATCCTCCTGGCCACGAGCCATGATACATGGGCCCCAGACAATACGTTTCATCCACGTCGATAATACGGTGTTTCGATTTCTGCAGGGCTGCGGGGAGCGCATTACGGAAGTATAGGGAACCATAGCCCGGGAAGGCGACGGCAGCAAGGTTACTCTCGAGCTCTGCGAATTTGCGCACAAGGGTTGATTTCTGTGGTTCTTCGAGATCATCCCACACTTCGGATAGCTGTCGGCCGGGTGATGGGTCGAGGATGATGTACTCTGTACGCGCAGGGTTGTCGCCATCGGCGCTCCAGGCCAGGACTTCGGACACAGGGGTAGGGGAGTGATATTTGACTGCTTCTTAGCGTATTCCTAAAGCGGAGACACCTGGCATACCGAATCCCAGGACAGCCACTTCGGAAGCCGTCCCATATTGCCTGGGAACTATATTCCGGCAAGGCACTTTCGCTATGACCATCCGGCTATTCTCCGTGGTCATAAGCAGCGCCTTATTATAACCTCCCTCCTTTTTGACCACCTGATAGACAGGAGAGTTGACAGACGGTAGTGACGCGACGGTCCGGCATAGTGCATCCATGTCGAACGGGGAATAGCGCTTGGCTAGTTCATATTCTTCGTTGACCAGGAAGCGGCCGGTATTATAACGATAGAGATGGTCGTTGCTCACTTTGTTTCCTGGGTCTGTTAGTGCCATTGCCTTTGCCTTTTATGTCAATGATAGTCGGATACCCTGGGCATAGAAAGAGAGAGACCGGACGAGGGATCTGTATCTGGACATGTTTGATGTTTGGAATGGTGGACGGGCGAGGGTATATATAGGCATATGTCATTGTGTCGTAGCCTTCGATATTGATACCGAGCATTAAGCATTGCATGTAGTATAAGTTATCTACCCAGCTGTAGGGGTTTACGGGGTATGCAATATCATTCCGATACTATGCAGTATCCTGTCGAAACTCTGCATGGATTTCGGAAGATCAATAGACCTCCGAGCCGTCTTAATTTGCTTTTGGCATATATTAAAATTCTGCACTAGCATTCCTGCACTTTGCACATCATCAGAACCGTTCAACCGAACAACCCCTGAATCGCAACAGGCCTCGATTCAGCCAATCTCTTGGCCCCAGTCTGCCATTTGCTCGTTGCACCCATTATTGGCCCTACCAGAGCCTGCCGAAGTTTGACAGGCTCGATTGGGTTACGCCCGGAATATGCTCGGATACTTAACTCTCTTCGGGAGGCACTATTAGGCCCACTAACTTGACACTACATGACTCGCCGCTGAAAAAACAGGCTGAATCCTTGATCTCCTGAAACAATCCGCTTCCACATGGCCTAACAATGCCTTTTAGATCATCTCCGCGGTGGCCGGCCTGCATTCCCCGGGGGCTGCGCTAGTTTGAAATCCGGAATGACAGACGCTCCACTGTTTATTTTTGTTCCTTGCGGTTGGGCGGCGGTTGACCACTGCTGCCGTCTCTCTCTTAATACAGTGCAAATTCTTCTTTCTCCTCAGCAGTTCGTCGTTCTTCGCTTTCCATTCTACCTGTCATCTTTCCATCGTTGTTCTACCGGGAAACGGTATGACATGCAATGACCGACCGAAATCTGGAGGTCAAGGCCGTCGCGGCCACCTTCATGTCCATCGCGGCGGTGACGGTGATACTGCGTTGTTATGTGCGGTTGCGTATCGTCAAGGCGTTCGGGTGGGATGATGGTGCGATGGTTATTGCTATGGTTTTCTATGCCTTGTTCTCCGGCAGCATGATCGGGGGCAGTTTATACGGTACCGGGCGGCATTTCAGCGAGCTCACGGCTCAACAACGAGTCACGGCGATGGAATATTGGTGGTTCTGTGAAATCGCCTATTGTTTCGCCTCTGTCGGGTGCAAAGTGTCGGTCTGCATTTTCCTGCTGCGAATTACAGTCAAACGGGAGCAGATTTATATCTTATACTGCGTGATGGGTTTGACGGCCATCTGCGGTCTGGCCTTCATGTTAATTATGCTGCTGCAGTGCAAGCCGCTCGAATATTTCTGGACCAGAAGCGCTCTCGACCCCTCGATCCCCGGCTCGTGCATGAATGTCCAAATCGTCATTGCCATGACCTATGTGTACAGTGCGTTTGCGGCGATATGTGATTTCACCGTGGGCATTCTGCCCATCTTCCTCGTTCGGAATTTGAGTATGCGTCGGCAGACCAAGATGGCTGTCATTGGTATTCTCAGTATGGCTTGCATGTACGTCCCTATTCCCTTCCCTCACATTGTCTCGTCCTGTCTAACAAGAACAGTGCCTCCTCAGCAGTCATCATCCGTATCCCCTGGGTCTACACCTTTGAGGAAGTCAACGACTTCCTCTACGCCACCGTCGAAATCGCCATTTGGTCGAATATCGAAACCGGTCTGGGCATATCCGCCGGTAGTCTAGCCACCCTCCGTCCTCTTCTACGTCGGTTATTCCCTCGCTCATCGCAAGAGGGCGGCAGCTATACCCCCGCCCCCGGATCGCGCCGGCTACCACTCGGATCGTTGGATAGCGGAGCACACAATCGCTTCCGCCCGGATAAACTGGCTGTTACTGTGACCACTGTGCAGAGCCAGCACCCTGGCGAGGAACTGGACAGCTGGGAACGGATCAGTCAGGAACAATTGACGGAGCGACCGCCGCTACCGGGCATTGCAGAGGAAGTTGGCATGGGCATGGGGATTCATCGGACGATCGAGGTGAACCGGACGGTCGAAGTTACACAGGGTGAATATGTATAGCATCATCATAATTTACTGTATAAATATAGATACACGGCGTTGGGTTACGGTTCGGATTGTACAAATGGCTCAAGCATGAATAAATGCATTCACCACCTCAGTAAACTGCCCCGGCTGCTCGACCATAGGCAGGTGTCCAGCCTTGTCGATAACCTTCAACTCCGCATCGCCCTTGAGGTCCTCTGCCATCTTCTTCATCGTCTGCGGCAGGACGCCGTCACCGCTACCTGCGACGAACAATCCCGGGACGGACGCGTTGGCCATGCGGTCCCGCACATCATACGCACACAGCGCCTGCGCTGCGCGACGGAATCCCTCGAGACTGTTGTTCACGACGACGTTCTTGACGTGCCGTGCGATCTCGGGCTGGGTCGTGTATGACTCGTCAACGAACCAGCGGCGGGTCGTGGCCTCGGCCAGCTGCTCGCCAACAATCTTCTCTCCAGACGCGGACACGGTGCCCTCAGCCTCTGCGATGGCGATACGGTCGTTCCATGCCTTGCGGTTGGACTCGGGGGCGGAGGAGTTGGTGTCGCAGGAGATGAACTGGTTGATGCGGTTAGGGTACAGCAGCGCCGTGTTCATGACCGTCACACCTCCCAGACTGACACCGATCAGGCTGGCCGTGGGGATACGCAGGTGGTCGAGGAGGGTGATGATATCGCCTGCCAGGACGTCGATGGTGACTGGTGTCTCGCCGGCGTTCTCGAGGCGTCCGCGGGTCAGATACCGCAGAACACGGAAGCCCTTGTTCTTCGGGTTGGACAGGAATGCTTCCACGAAGCCGTCCCAGACGCTCCAGTCGACCAGGATGGAGTTGCTCAGCACGATGACAGGCGAATTGTCGTCACCACTGCCCTCCAGACGGTATGGCAGATCAACTCCATCAGGAGTAGTCACAAACGACTCGACAGCAGCCCGGGGCTCAGGCAGGGTCTTAGTCCGACCATCATTGCTCGACCACCGTCCCGTCTCCGGCGTAGCGATGGTAGACAGTTCACGCGGCGCAGGCCCAAAAGTGTAATACCACTGATAAACCCTCCTCGTCTTGCTCGTCACAGCATTAGCCATAATCTTCTCCCTCCACGCCGTCTCACAAGCAGCCTTATGCTCCGCACCACCCAAACCATTCACAGCCGCAAACTCATGCAATGCCAAAAACTCCTTCGACGCCTTCGAATCAACAGCAGCAGTGACGTAGCGCACACTCCGCCGCCACCCAGACACCTTGGCCAACATGGGGATATGCTCGTCCTCGTACCAGCGATTAAATTCCTCCTCCTGCTCAGGCTTAACAGTCATAGTCACAGAGAGCGTCACGATGCCCGCGGCCTCGGGATCCGGCAATGCATCTACCGGTTTGTAACCGTCGATTTTCCGCTCCGAGAAGAAATCGTACAGTTTCCGCCCGACGTCGATCTGGGCCATCACGTCCTTTTCGCGCTGTGTGCGGATGCCATCGCCGCGAAGCGCGAGGTATGTCTCCTTTGTGAGCTCGCTCATGTCGCTGATATCGTAGAAAGCCAGCCATTCGGGGGTGGCGGCGTCGGCGGCGCGGTAGCGGAAGCCATTGGGGACGAAGGGGAGGCGCAATCGCAAAGGACCGTGTTCGTTGTTGTACCAGTCGTGAAATGCGGAGGCAGAGAGCGATGCTTTGGGTTGCATCGTCACGTAGAGGAGGCCGGCCATTTTGGTGGTTGTATGTCTGGTGTTCCTCTGTACTCTTTGAGTACTACGTACTACGTATGAGGGCGGGGGAGGGGCTATATAGATTTCCGGAAGCCGAGCTCTACTACCGATCGGTAATTCTTTAAGTCTCCGTAACGTTCATCCATCATCATTCATTCTGGTAGTGTTCTACTCCGGAGCACAACTATGTACTATGTCTCGAGTACTCTCGTTAATCATACCAGATAGCATTCATACCGAATCCCTTCTCGGGAATATCCACCCTAGCCACTCTCGCCAGATTCTCATCCTTGAAGCGATACATCTCAACAAAACCAAGCTGGTCATCGCACAATGCCAGCCACTCGTCGCTGAAATCGCACGGACTGACTGCGTTGGAGTGACCGCCGCTGGTCGAAGTCGGGTGGATGAAGAGTTGGCGCTCGATTTCGCCGGATGGGCCGAGCTTGAAGGCCGTGATGTAGCCGGTGACATCAAAGTGGTTGGAGCGAGTGGTTGCGAAGAGGTACTGGCCGTTGCGAGTGCAGAAGCAGACGTCGCCGCGGTATTTGTTGCGGGGGGGGAGTCCTGGTGAGATTAGCAGTCTGACATTCGTGATTATATGAGGGAGGCGTACCATCCGGCAACAAAGGATAGGTAATGTGCGTAAACACCGGCACATTGTTCCTATCCAAAACGTACACAGCCAACCGATTGCCAGCCTCCATCAACACATACAGATACTTTCCGGATGGATGGATTTCGACCCATCGCGGATGGTCATCGGGCGACGGCGCCTCAAGGCAATCCACGAGCGTCAACTGCCCGGTCGCAGCGTCCTTGCGATGCGTCCAGACCTTGTTGGCCTGCAGGTCGGCCGAGTACAAGAAAGTCTCAGTAGGATCGAAGACCATGCCGTGGATACCGGTGTTTTCGACATATTCGTAGTTCTGCACATTCTCGGCCAGACTGCCGTCGTCCTTTACGGAGAAGACGTTGCCGTAGCCAGCGTATTTGTAGAATGGGTTGCCGTAGACATTGTACGGGGGTTGTTTGGCGGCGAGCACGAAGATGGCTCTAGTGTTGGTGTCTGCATTAGCAGCCAGAGGGTGACCGGCCACCGGGTGCGAGACTTGGTGGACAATGTCCGTCGGGCTGTTGACGGCGAACGAGTTCCATTTCTTCATCGCCGCGCCATAGATGGCTTTTTTGTCGTGCTGGTATAGTTAGCATTGTCGCATTGATTACATGAATACAGGGGCAGCGTACGGAAAAAGCCATCCATGAAATCGCCTCATCCTCAGGAATATCGGTCTTCTTGACCTTTGTCAGAGTCAATTCCTCGTCGTCGAACTGCACAGTGTAGATACGCCCCGGAGGCGTCCAAGTGCCGACCATAAGATGATGCTTCATTTTGTCTGTAGTGTGTGTATTGATTATTGTCCGGAGAGACTAGAGTCGGTATGTGAAAATAAGTATGCGATACAGAATTATGCCACTGCCGAGTGATTCTCCGGTTCGGCTCGCCGTTTTGGCCATTGCCGATGCACTCCTATAGAGTACACTATTTAAACGATACAGTCGTCGTCAATTTATCGTGAGTCCTGCAAATTTCTTATTCCTGGTCTGTTTTACAGATCCATACTCGAGTAGATGTAGTTTTGCCACCCTATACTGTATATCTGACTCCACATATTGTATATCTGACTGTTATACATCCATTGGTCAGTAGGTTAACTACAACTACTTGCAGCTGCATGCATGCTTAAATACTAGCCGGCAAGGAATGCAATTGTCCATGCTTCTCTAAGATAATACAACATTAATCGGTCGTACCCGGATAGAGTGCATCAAGTCAAGCTCCCCCAAGGCTGAGTTGGATCTACACGCCACAGAAGACAAAACACCCTGAATAGACCTGCCCCGGACCCCAGAAACTGCCCCGGTGCCCCTGCACAGAATATAGTTAGACTACATACAAGTACTCCGTGCCGACCACTGCTAAATACTGTATCGGGATCCAGCCACATCCCGATCTTCTTCCGGATGCGGGGGGAAGAGTTGACTGCCGGCGGTTAAGGTCTTTTCCGTTCGGCATCTGCGCGTGAGAGCGGTGGAATGTGGTCTGTAGTATGGTAGAGCATGCCCAGTTACGCTGTCGATGTAATGCACTTTCCCCGGTTGGTTCATATTTGGAACTTGCCGCCATTCGGCTGTTAAGATCGACCGATGCCAGATGAGGCCATCAATCAATCAAACCTTCGGCATGTAGCTTGTCACCGTTGCAAGCTGCCTCATGGTCATGTAGCCGATAAATTTGCCGTCGCCTTCCCACATTCTTATATTTATGTAGACCTCAATCCTCGAGAATTTCTTCTCTTCATCCGTTTCTATTTCGCTCATATACACAAAATATCCAAATCCCAATCCCATACCTTATCTATATATATATATATACACACAAAATGTCCGCCAACCGCCAGTTCGACCCCGACTTCACTCCCTATGTCGTCAACGCCATGGGACCTAAGGTCCCTGAGCGCACTCGCGTCATCCTGGGTTCTCTGATCAAGCACGTCCACGACTTTGCTCGTGAGGTCGAGCTCACTCCCGCCGAGTGGATGCTGGGTGTCGAGTTCATCAACTCCATCGGCAAAATCAGCACTCCCATTCGCAACGAGTGCCACCGTATCTGCGATGTTATCGGTCTTGAGTCGCTCGTCGACGAGATTGCCAACAAGATCGTCACCGACGAGGGCATCACTCCCACCTCCAACGTCATTCTCGGCCCCTTCTGGTCGCCCAACGCTCCCTTCCGCGCCCTCGGCGACAGCATCATCCAGGACCCCAACCCCGACGGCAAGGTCACCTTGATGCACGGTGTGCTCAGCGACATGGAGACCGGCGCCCCCATCGAGGGCGCCGTCCTCGACATCTGGCAAGCCTCCGCCAACGGCCAGTACGACTTCCAGGACCCCGGCCAGACCGAGAACAACCTCCGCGGCAAGTTCCGCTCCAACGAGAAGGGCGAGTTCTACTGGTACTGCTACCACCCGACCCCTTACTCGCTGCCCACCGACGGTCCCGCCGGTGTTCTCCTCAACGTCATGGACCGCTCGCCCATGCGTCCCGCTCACATCCATTTGATGATCACCCACCCGGACTACGCCACCGTCATCAACCAGATCTACCCCAGCGACGACCCCCACCTGGGCATCGACTCGGTGTTTGCCGTCAAGAACGATCTCGTCGTGGACTTCAAGCCCAAGACCGACGACCCCAAGGCTTCGCTTGACCTTGACTACCCCGTCAAGATGGCTCTCAAGAAGCACCACCCTAACCCCAACTCGGCGCCTCCGGTTTCGTCGTTTGAGCGGTTTAGCAAGAACAAGGGGCAGGAGAAGCTGTAAAAAAGATAGTCGCGGTGTACAATGTGTGGAAGATTCATGTAAATAGTTATTTTTGTTTTCTTTTTAGCGATAGTCCAAGCCTCTACGGAGAATGAATTGCATTGCATTGTGAAATATTTCTCGATATTAACTAGGGTTGAATAGTGAAGTATCGATTTAAGCACAGATGACAAAGACTTTGATGTTGGAATGTTAAGGCTCAAGTTCAAAACCCGTGGGAACATGGATCGTCTGCCCCCATCGATCGAAGTACTCGATGTACCAACAAGGAGAACATAGTCCCCAGCTTCCACGGACCACTTTCCCTTAGCATCATTCCAGTACGCGCTGATCGACCGGAATCTCAACTCTCCCGGTATCACCGGGCTGTAATTCAATCTTCGCGAACCCGCACAGTTTTTCGTTAGGTCTGTCCGATGACGCTCCAGTATATCCAGCATAGACCTGCACCACCTCGCTTCCGGTGACAGGGCCAGTGTTCTTCATCTCTGCGGTCACCGTGATGCTCTTATCAAAAGATAAGAACCTCACTGCACTTCCAAGATTCTAAGAAACAGCTCTGCCTAGCTGTCACGATGCCGAATTCGAAGCCTACTGGATCAGCAAAACGCAACACACACCTGTCGAGCAGGCGGAGCGTCGCAAAGCGGTTATGCTGTGGATGCACGGAGGCGGATATTGTTTCGGAAATGCGCTTCAGCCATTGTCCACGCTTCTTCGGGTAACAGAGGTAGCTGAAGGAGTTGGCGTGGATCTTGACATTCTCTCAATCGAATATACGCTTGCTCCCGATGCCATGTTTCCACAACAGCAGGAACAGGCCGTTGCAGCATACCGCTACTTAATCGAGGACGAGCACATTGATCCGGGGAGCATCATCGTGGGCAACGAGTCTGTAGGCAGCCATCTCGCTCTATCATATCTGGTAGGTCTTTCCAAAAAGGGTACCCTCGGCCAATGCGAGCGTTGCTCCTGTGTCCTTGGGTCAACCTGAGAAACTCGAGATCGTCTTTTATTCTCGCAATAAACACCTAGAATTCCTCGACAAAAAGACATTTGGATTGATGTGCATCCTTTCCCGTGGGTGAGGATGGCTTCCGGCAGAATGAGTTAGTGAAACTTAAGCATGCTCTCCGGTCGAGGCTGGAATTGGGGACAAGCACTGCCTGTGAGGACATGGGTTAATGTCGGGTCTCATGATTTGTTTATTGAGGATATATGTTGTCTTAAAAGAGAATGCAACTGCAGAAGGGGCAAACGTGGAGCTAGACATTGCGGAAGGGAGACACCACGGATGGCAGGCAATGGCGGACGCCTCTAATTCTGGTTCGTATTTTGCAAGTGGGCCCCGAAAGAAAGCATTTCGGAGGGTATGTTTGTTAGAAGTGAGAATATTGTCAAGGGTTTGTTCATATTCTAGATTTTAATACCCAAAAAAGGAAAGTGAAATTTGTGCAGTAAAGGGGGATACAAGATAAGTCAATAGTTATATATATTGTATATCCTTGGTCGGAAGTAGCCCCGAATGTCGCGCTGGCTCTGCATAGTTAACTCCCACCCCATGATACACGCTCATGCCTAGTTCATATATAAAGGAAGAACTATCGTTCAACGAAATCTCTTGTATGATAGCTAGACATAACATCATGAGTTTAGCTCCTAACACAAAGCTTGCTTGCCATATATTTTTTTTCAAGGGAAAAACTGGCACATACGACCATAGGGTGTGGAGAACAGGGCTTCCCGTCCGCTCAGCCGTACTTAAGCCACACGCCGGCCGGTTAGTAGTTGGGTGGGTGACCACCAGCGAATCCCGGCTGTTGTATGTTTTTGTTTTTTTGCCTACGCTTACCGTGAGCGTAGCGAGTGAGTGAGGTTGGTGTTTATTTTTTAGCCAGGATCTCAAAAACAAAAGTCCCCAGCCTGTTGTTGTCGCGTGGAATAGCAAATCCAAGAGCGTGATAGATCCCTGTTCAACGGAAAAGCCCAATAAATCCGAATGGGGTTGTCATGAATTTGTTGGAATTAAGGGTTTGAATTTCAAAGTCGTTGACAAAAGCACACAGCAGGAAGACTATGACTGCATTGTCAAAGGAACAGCCCAACAGCAGCTTCCAAACTTAGCTCGACAGAAAAGCCAAGGAGGGAAGGCAAAGAGAGAGGAGAGGAGGAGGAGGAGGAGGAGGAGGAGGAGGAGAAGCCAAATACTCATGCATTGGTGTTTGAGGCCTGAGGTTGAGGCGTGTGGATGGTAACAAAATCATGCACGCAGTCTAAGAATTCAGGAGTCTCCCACTCGTATTCATAAACATTTCCCAAGTCATTTCTCAAGACCAGTTTGCACAAGGTGTCAGGTAAAACCTTTCCTAAATCAACTGCTTCGGAAGAGTCGAAGCCAAGAAGAATGGTGATAGGGAGTTCAGCAGTTCGGAGATTGGTAAATTTCTTCAAGACGCCTTGAAAAGGTTCTAGCACATGCCCTCGTTTCTCCTCACCGTGGTATTCACCCATGCAGTGTGGGTAGTACTCAATTCCAATAGAGAGATTTACAATTATATTCCTGACGGATTCCAATGCTTGGATAAAACATCCACCGTTTTGAAAAATCTGCTGTTTTTTCCAGTGATATTCCAACCCCAGATGGAGGTTCTTCAATGACCGAGTTTGAGTAAGGAAAAAACATTCTCCTCAGAAATGGTCGACCGGGCCAGGATCAGTGTTTGTAAATGGTTAAGATTCAACTCCAACTTGCTCTCCTTGAGCTTTGTCGTATCGCGCAGCCAGATTTCCAAGTGTTGAAGAGAAGTCAGATAGAACCAGCCATCAAATTGATCATTGTTGTAGGATGCTGGAAAGCCATCAGGCCATTGTAATCCTGAATCAAATGCAAATTCAATAGGCAAAGGCACATTTCCACCATAGTCAATCAGATGAAGGGAGTCAAATGTTGACAACACTCCATTTAGCAAAAGAAGTGCGTGCTTCACCATTTGGCCTGGATATCCACCCATCTAGACAAAAGAATAGTCTAGACGAAGTGATCTGAGACTGAAAGTTAAGAGACAAAGACTGCAGCGAAAGCAAAGAAATTTCCTTCTTGAAGAGCTCGGGCCCAGTCCTCTGCATTATGGAACTGAGCGCCCTGAATCACACCAACTGTTTGTCCCATCACATCTTTGAAGCATGATGACTGTTTATCCCAGTTCACATTGCTTGTCAGATCGGCCCATGGTAGTACTGCTGATGATGAAAGCAGGCTGACATGGTGCACTGAAGATGCCAGCTCTGGCCTTGCGAAGAGAGTTCGAAGTAGCTGCAGCACTTGTCGCAGAGGGAGCTTCTCTGTATTCCAATTCAAATTCACTTCCCGGTAAAGAAACGGCTCTGCTGTTGCATGTAAGGACTTGCATGTGGTGCATATTGATAAGATATCCGGAAATGCAAGGTATTCGATAACGTCCACCCAACAGTCGTGTGGAAGAAGGAAAAGGGGGCGTTTCACAATCGCAGAGTACTGCTCAATCATGACTATTGTAGGGGATTAGGAGCATGCAATAAAAACATGTTGTGTAGACGAACGTATTGATGATGGTGGAATAGAGCAAAAATTATGTGCGCTGGTGACCTTTCTTTTGCGAGTTGTGGAGCAAACTGTACTCCGTTTAAATGTTAGTACTTGATGAAGATCAGAGGAATATTGGACCGATATAGTGAGCTCCGGAGAAGTGCACTCTATAGCAGACTCAATACTACGTACATTCCTTACTGCGCGATACTGTCTCTACGGCCTACGGCTGTCATATGGGCCTCGTATGGTAATCCGGAGAATCGGCACCGCTGCCCCGAAGCTTCCCCGTTTCACCCGTTTCAGTACTTTATTAGGCACGTGACACTTGAACGCCTGACGCTGAGGACTGAAGCGGAGTCTCTTGGATCGTAGCTCAGAGGGGAAATCGGGAGTCGATTATTCCGGACTAACGAGGTCTATATGGAGAGGACTAGCTGGACGAAAGAGGTATATTGCCTAACGAACGTATGTGCGTGTACGCAGTTGATTGAGTGCTTAATCTACCTAAAGGTGCGCACACGTTGGCCTATATCATCGGACCGGCGGAACTTGCCTGATCGGTTCCTTGTCAAGGACCAATGGCAAGTTGTTGTTTCTTGGACCATATGCCACCTCCAGCCCGCCTAACCTAAATTACATTTGGGAGAATCCCATCCCGAGCTTGGCAGAGGATGGGAAAATCCCATTCCCATCTCCCATTTTTTCCGAAAAGGTCAGCCTATTTGAGGTAGTGGCCAGAGGGAGAGGTTATACGCCATTCAACATCAGACGATTCAGAGTCCCTCACAGACGTAAGCATTTGCAGGTAGTTAATCATTGTACATTTTCTGCTGAACTTGAACACTCATCGGGAAAGATTGACAACTCCTGCCAATAGATCAGAGTGTGAGTGCAGTTAAGTGGGTAAGAGCCTTTTCCCCACACCTGTAATTGGGAGGTAGCCAACCACCATTCACTTTTGCAGTCGAATGCGTGCATATGTACTCTGTACCCTTCTAAAGATTCGGCTAGTACAGAGTACATAATTCCCCCCTCCCCCCCCCCGCTTCCGAATGACGTGTTCCAATATTTAGAACGGCGCGGCCCAGCTCTGGTTGTAACTTGTCGATCGTTGTACAGTCCAGGCCTGTCGCTGCGCATGTATGTAGAGCTCGGGCCTCGTCATGGGTTCCTGGCATAGCGGCCAGTAGACTAGTTGCATAAGCGGGGGTTCCACCTTCAGAATGGCTTGATATATGAGAGCTGAACCTTTGAAAATGACTCGTATAACCACAGCGCGGTTGCATATAGCTGAGGTATGGAGACCAGGTCAATTCGTACAGCCTTTTACTGCCGAATGCCTAGTTCCCTAAGTGCTAGGACCATATTCGACCTCGAACATATGATATTTGTATACCAAGATCTCTGACCACATAATTTTCTAGACTTGGCGTAATGCATAAATGTGTGGCCCGAGAACCTAGAAATAAGTAACAAGAACTGAATCGTTTCATGTCAAAAAGCAAGCCCACTCAGCTGAATGTAATGCAACAACACGGGCCTAGATTTGGCAAGTGCCTTACAGGACATCCGTCATGTTCCATGGAGTGTGGGGATGGCAGACTTCCTATCATTGTTATCCAATACTCCAAAATTGACAACATCATCTAGGAAAGATCGACCCCTCAGCTCATGGGGTCAACTTGGAAGACAGGATAAACTCGACTGTTTGTTTGGACTGTAGCAATTTGGATGCAGAAATGCTGGCGAGGCTGCGTCGTGCATAGAAAACAAGAGAGCCGATGGGCTGCCTCACTTTGTGCAATTTGCGAAATGCAGAGCTGCCTAACCTGGATTGATGAAGAGGAGGCCTGGGCGGAGGACATGGCAACATATAAAGGAGGTCATGTTCCCTCCTGAATCAATTTCTTTCCTCAGAGCATCACACCTCAGCAATCGAGTTCCCAAACATACTCAGACAACCAACTTATCAAACCACCCTTTCCATCCCCAAGGCCTCATTCAATATGCCTCACACTCATAACACCCTCGGTAATGATGAGTGGTTGCTCAAGGGCAACAGCCTGTGGAGTGAGAATGGCGTCTACGAGTTCAGAATGCAGCAAGACGGCAAAATTGTCGTGTACGAGAACGGCAACCCAAAGTGGCAGAACACCAAACAGCAGCGCTCCGACGTGAAGGGTGTCAGAATGCAGGCAGATGGCAACCTGGTCATCTAGTAAGCTTCCTTCCCTCTCTTCATCCTCTTTTTTCTTGCATGCGGTGTTTTACTTTATAGAGGAGCCCCTTGTGGCTGACAAAGTTATGTGCAGCACCGACAATAATGAAGCTGTCTGGCACTCTAACACCGCCCCCAAGAATGACGTTGTCCTTATCATCCAGAATGACGGCAATCTCGTTCTTTATGAGGGCAACCCAGTCTGGGCCACTTCGACCACCCCCTCCGCTCAGTAAAATCTCACCGAGAGACAGACGCTGGAAGTTGAGTATTGAAGTGGAAGATGGCATGAGGAAGCTGGAATCAAGGCAGTGAAGGTCTAGATTGACAAATTGTAGATAAATATTTACCTTGGCCACTCAGTTGTCAATAAAAGAATGGAGACATCTGCTATGAATACCACCTTGCAATCCTTTGAGGGCACAGTTGCCTTGTTGTAAGATAAGTAGAATTAGGGTTGATAGACTGTGCCATAAGGTGAATTTGATCTTATTTCTGGCGTTCACCACTTAGAATCCCCAAATACTATCCACTGTCTCACCTGGGTTTGTTTCTGGCGTAGGCTGTAACAAAAGCCTCTAGGACGGAGGGGGGAGTGGAGGAGTGGTGAAAATCCCAGAGAGACGACTGGGCGATGAGGAGGGGTGTATCAGCACTTTCTAATAAGATATTTATTGCTTCCACAAGCGCAGCTTTGCTAGACTTCACTGCGGTCTGAGGCCAGATGCTTTACCAAAACCGCATCGATATCTGTGACAAGTCAGTCTTGGATATCAAGCGGCCCCTGGCGGGTCGTTGATATTGATACTGGTACTTGCTCATGTAAAAGGGGGGCATTCCAAGAGTCAGTGGTGGACTTTACTTCAAGATAGTATTTGGGTCGCTTTCCCGACCAGTCCAAACGGGCTGGGGTCGGAGATTCACCGTTTGGGAGTCCATTTGGGAGAATCCCCTGTAATGATATCCATCACCTGAACACAGGCACCATCCACGGCCGTTTCCATTCAACATAAAGACAATCCAGATCTGTCTCTCAGACATGAAGCATGTGCAGGTAATTACTGCATGTTGTCTGCTTATCTGGACATTCATCAGTGAAAGCTTGACAACTCCTGCAATTGAAACCTGGGGCACTGGCTTCGCGGTTAGTGGGGTAGCCGAGTTACTTTTCATATTTCAGGAACTTGCTGTCAATTTGCATTGTGAGATCCCTCATTACTCTCAGTATTGAATTAGACTATAATTTTGCATTCAACTGCTGAATATGGCTTACTGGCCAGGCCTTTGCACGCAATCCTGCAGTATATGCTCAGTATATACCCGTTCAAAGAATTGACTAGCACATACGACCATAGGGTGTGGAGAACAGGGCTTCCTGTCACGGGCTCGGACCAGCAGATAATAACGAATTGATATTCCTATCTAAACTAGTGTAGCCATCGACGAGAATATCGAATCCGGGGGAAAAAGAGAAAAGGAAATCTATCTAGAGAAAGAAGGGATTTTATAGGCATTTATTTGACATCACTAATGTCCTGTCTGGCGTGTTGACGTCGTTTGTCTGTGTCAGTCGTTGATGCAGTGTTGAGCCGTTGACGCAGCATCAAGCCGTCACAATCATATCCAACCTCATTCTGATTTTGCTTGGCATCCAATTCATCCTCCAAAACCTTATAATCTTGTTTCAGTTCGAAACGGTCAGATGACAATTGAATCATAATAGCCTCAATTGTCTCAAGAGCAAGCCGGTTATGAAGATAGTGGCAAACATCTCAAGCAGTGCTGAATAGGTTTTCAACACCAACACCACTTGCTGGAACTGCAAGGAAATCTCGTGCCATTCAGGACAGAATAGAAAAACGAAACACATTATCTTGCCACCAGTCAAGAATGTCAGAAATTCAGCCTGGTGGTAAGATTGCTAGAAAGTCACCATGGTTAGATTCTGTTGACTTCCATATACGCTGAAGACTGATTGATATGCTCGTTGCTCCGACTGACCAATCAGAGCTTGAATTGCCCCACCTATTTACGACGTACTTCTGGACTGACAATCTGGTCAGACGGGTCAAGATTGGAGAATGGAAGGTGCGGAGCGGGACTTGCATGGCAAGAACCAGGAGGAGCATGGAAGACCCGGGGATTCCCATCGGGCAAGGGATACGAGGTCTTTGATGCAGAACTTCTTGGAGTTATTCAAGCGCTCCAAGTAGCATGGAAGATGGGAGGTCGGAGACCAATCACCATTCTGCTGGACTCCCAGGCCACCATTGCAAGGCTGCGACATACCCAGCCCGGGCCAGGTCAAGCTCTAGCAATTCAAGCACACACTATAGCTAAGAGTTTGCATGCCCAAGGTCATCAACCCACTATCCAATGGGTTCCGGGACACGCGGGGGTAGAAGGGAATGAGAGAGCTGACCAGGCGGCAAAGCAGGCTGCTGGTAAGCCTCCAGGAAGAGGCCCAAAAGATATCTCTCTTGCTTTTGCCCAGAGAGCCTGGACGGAGGCCATTACAGTACAAAAACAGAGATGGCTTGCCAGGAGACTCAGCCAACAATCCCAATGGTACAGGCTACAGAAAAACTGGTGGCTCAACCCCTTGGTTGCAGCGGCTCTGAAACACCTGGCAAGCTGGTACTTTCAACTGAAGTCAGGCCATGCAGTCACTGGAACATATTTACACTGGATCCAGGCTTGAGAAGATGCAACCTGCCAAGGATGTGGTTCCTCTAAAGAGACAGTACACCATTTTCTCTTTGAGTGCAGGCAATGGTGACACCAGTGAAACAGGCTCTACAAGGACCTGGAGAAAGATGGAGTTATGAGACCCACCACAGCAGAAGAATATCCACAAGGATGACTTCTAGGGGAGCCCAAAGCGACTAGGGCACTGCTACAATTCTTAGCCAACACCAGCGTAGCTCTACCTCAGGGATATCTACAACGGGCGGTGGAAAGAGCCTGGAAAGACGAGGAATGAGGACTGGAAGCATTGGAGGAAGCAAGTAGGCGAGGAGAAGGATAACAGGGAGGGTAGCCTAAGCTGAATCTCAGCTTAGACCACACCCACCCTGCTCGGAAACACAAGGAGAGCACTCTGCTCAAAAGCCCTGCGCATACAGGCGGTCTGGGGCGAGGAAAAGGTTCAGAAAGATCATAGAAGGAGGTTGGTACCTCAGGAACTCATAGGGACAAGGGAAGTAGAATAGCTGCTGACCCCGAGTCCATGAATCATGGTCTGTCATAGCTCTAGGGCTCGGTATGGACAATAAACTTGATTAAATAATAATAATAATACGACGTACTTCCTGCTCATGCCTAATCGTATCCACAGAGGATATGATAGAGAGATAATAGGACCGGGAATTACGGCTATGCAGCCAGCATCCTTTGACTATGGCCACCGCATACATGCATTATGCACTTTGTACTCCTTTTGTCTCTTTGAACTTCTTTCGCAACGACCTTCCCTTTTACGCTTAGTTGACGGCCGCCAGATTGTTTATAAAAAGGCCGTACAATAGATAGATATCTAGAATCAGAGTTCTTCCCCTATTCACTCCGAATAGTGCCTATGACATCCTTCCGAGCATAGTAGTTGACATCGGGCCTAACGGATGTCAAACCTCAGCTAGGAAGACTTTAGTCATCATCATTCTCATGATACCTATATTGTGACAAAGCCCATCTCTGGCTAGCATAAGCCATAGTATTCTGATAGAACTTAATTCTAGTAATCATGCTCCATCTTATAGTGTCATTGATAGACCTCACTAAACTTGTGGGTTACAGTGGCAATGTATCTCTTCAGTGTAGAATAAGCTTCCTGTTAAATCAGTACTTTGTAAGCCTAGCATTGAGGTATCACAGGCAGTGATAGTCATGTATAGGCAGGGTGCCTCGTGTAGAGCAATGGAAAATGAGTGGGGGAGTGCCCTCGGCTGGGCGTGTTTTTCACTAGGCCCTCGCAGGGTATAAACGAACGCCGTTGTGCCCGGTCAGACTCGGATGTGGATAACAAACCTACGACTCGATATATCAAGTCTGATATTTTTCATGACATATAAACCAGCCATGGTGTTTCTACTTATGCAGCAGATTGACGGGAAATGCGTCGATCAACAAAAACTCATGTCCCTACTCCAAACCGTCTATGGCATTTCCAACGAGGGCAGGAATAATTTCTACGTCGAGGTAAGAAGCCTTCCACTATTATTATTATCATCATCATCATTATTATTTTCTTGTTCGCAGGTTTCCCCTTGCCCTGAACTGCTTCAATATTCTATAATCCAAATTTGCTGTCTGCATCACTCCTGAGTGGCTAACATGTATTGTCAACTCTGATTCCTTGATCCCGTGTTTGGTGATTTGGATAAAGATGTTGTATACTGAAGCTACCGTAGATTTCCATTCTCCCCCATCAGCAGAAAACCTAGATAGGTAATTGATTTCTGCACTCAATGCACAAGACGAGTTATTGCATCTTAAAGTACAATATCCAGCTTCCTCTTTTTAATCATAGCCTTGGCTGTTGGGTCCGTATCCAATTCCTGCCCAAAAGCAACATCCTCTTTGCGGCCCTCGCTCGTGAACTTCCAATCATACTTCATTAGCAAGTAAATCAACACAACCTTGATCTCATTCCCAGCAAAGAATCGTCCAGGGCAGGCGTGCTTGCCATGTCCAAAGATAAGGTGTTCCGGTGAGGTCGTGGCAAATTGCCAGCGGTTCTCCTGTCCAGGCTGCTCACGCATCTTCAGGAACCGACTTCCTGGGCCGTCGCAACGTCATAGGGTCGGCCTTTGGCTGCGTCATCCATCCATCCGATCGTGTATGCCATCTTGGATGTGGATTGACCCGCCTCGCGGGCCTGGCGATTGGTCTTCCGGCGTTCCTCGATGACAGGCATGATTATTACCCGTGCCTCGGCGAGTGTCGCACGAACCTTGCGACATTCGGGCAGGAACCAGTGGACGATTGGACGCAGGAAAAAATGCCACTGCCGCAGGGTCCGCGCGGCCACGAATGACTCGATTGCGTACTCTTTGCTGATACCAAGCCACGCCTCATTGGCACACAACTCCGGACCCATGAATACTCGCGAGGACACACGCGCAACCAGTTGCAAAAGCATTGGCTTATACGTAATTTCCGTCCATGCTGTAGTCGGTGGGTTGGGTTAGCTTGCAAGAGGCAGGGTGCGAGAAGGATTCTATCCAGAACCCCAGGGGCGACGTACTCTCTGGCTCACCGAAGAGCTCCTCCACAGCCTTCGACGTTTCGTCCGCCAGCTCCTCGGTAATCAAGTCTTCAAGGGTAAAAAAACGTTAATGCTGATCCAACTACTTCCCAACTGATTACTAACTACTTGTATACTTGTATGGAAACAGGGTATTCCCATACAACTTACAAATTCAAAAAGCCATTCTCTTCAGACATCAAAGATTGAATATATTGATGACTTACCAGAGTATCCAACTAGTCATATTCATGGATACTCATATGTTGTTGCATCTAGAGGGCGATCACAGAGTGAAATGGAGCAGCTTGTTCATGAGGTAGCACTGAATACTTTATACTTGCTTTTAAAGTACTTGCTAATTGATTACAGGTTCAATATTCACAGCGACAACAGCATGGACCAAGAAGACCAGTCAAATGCCCATTTTTTAACTGTTTAGTTAAAAGATGGACTTGGAAATGCTCTGGCATCTATGCATGTGAATATTTAAATCCATTTCTTCAATCCTATCATCATACATTTGTTGATGAGGATTGTTGGAGCATGATTCAGAAGTCTCAGAAAGATATACAAAATTCTAGAGACAGATGTTGGAAAGCGAAATGCATACAGGTACTAAGCCATCCTTTAAGCAGTTCCAAAGCAGTTCCAAAGCAGTTCCAAAGCAGTTGCTAAGTATGTCTAGTTACTATCGGTCAAAAAGAGAATTCTTTAACAAGGGTTACGCATGTGTTGACCAGCTTCCAACTTGCAAGCCAGTTTTTAAGTGGCATACTGAAATGGTCAGTTGAATTACTTTTTAAATGCTTCTCAAGTGCTTACTCACTGGTTATAGAATGTTCATGGCGAATATCCACCATATATTGGCTGCAGTAATGGATCTAATGAATTTTTAACAAAACATCATAGAGGATCTATCCAAGGCCATACATCACTTGATATACAGTTTCTTGAAGATATTTTTAACCACAATATTATGCCAGCAACTGAAGAATGTGGTGTTTTTGAATCACTAGCATCCCGACGAAAGTACTGTGGTAAGTACATCATGACTGGTTACCGACTGGTTACCGACTGGTTACCGACTGGTTATCAACTTGTTACTAACTGGTTATGGACTAATAAGATCGAGATCACCTTCAAGGACCAGGCAGATTAAGACATACTCCCTGTAGTGTGATTTTTACTGCTTTAGTTCCAGTGGATATTAATGAATGTCCATATATCCTCTTTACATCCCATGGAATTCATCAACATCCACCACCACCACCAAGCAAGGCACCGGAACGGATTTTACAAGGAGTTAAAAGAATTATTCAACAAATACAAGACCCAAGTTTGACTACAGGTATGTAGTTGCTAAGCAGTTTGGAAGTACTTGCTAACTAGTTTGTTAGCACAATTTCTTCGAAATCCACAATTAGAGGCATTTTGTCAGCAGTATAATGCTTCTACATTAGCAGAGATCCACTCAAGCTTCTGTAATAAAGACTGAATTGCAACAATCATTCAAAAACAACAACTTCTTTCATACCCTAATGGACAAGATATTAATGGGTTGCTTTTCCTACAGAACCGGGACTCACTAGTGAATGTAAGTAGCTCCCATGTCACGGTGCCAGCCCGTGATCTATGCACGTGACTAGGCACGTGACCCACAGAGATATCTGTCTGCGCCAACGCC